AGAAAGAAAGAAAAAAAAAAAAAAAAAAAAAAAGAACAACAGAAAAAAAAGAAAGAGAACCTGTGGTCTATGGGGCTGTGAATTATTCATATTTTAGAGACCCTCGTTGGGTTTTGGGATGGAAGAGGGGACCAGGGGAAGACTCCAGGAACAAGCAGAGGCGGGGCAAGAATCCCATCTCTCCCTGGGCTCCCTGCAGAGGGAGCTTACCAAGGCTGGAACTGGAGAGGGAAGGCAGCCCTTCCCCCCACCCCCACCCCCTCTCGGCCTCAGAGGTCCTACCTTGTTGGCCCCTCCAGGCATGTGACTCACCTGACCCCAGCCCTCCAAGGAGACCCCACTTATTAACAGGAGCAGACCTGACCACCCACAGGCTCTCCCATGCACCTGTCTGCCCTCAGCTGACCCTAGCTTCCTGGTTACCTCTCCTCTACCCACTCCAGCTGGAACCAGCAACCTTATTATTATTCCAGGTCCTTCCCTGGGAGGGAAGAGAAAGGGAAATTGTCAACCTCAATGACCCTTGAATATGCTGCTTGGAGCTCTAGCTCAGGGCCAAGGGAAAGGCCAGGCCTGGCCCAGACTATGTGGCTTCTTGACCTTCAAGGTTGGGGTGGGCAGTGGGGCCCTCGGCCCACCCTTTGTCACGCAGCAGAGAGGAGCCTGGGCGGTGGCTGGGAGCCGAGAACCCCCACTCCCCAGCCAGCTTTGGGTCACCGCCTGGAACATGTATACCAACACCTCTGTCAGTGTCCATCCTGTCTGTCTGTCCATCTGTGGCTCACACACACGGACATGTTCATTCAGAGTACTGATGAAATCTTTTTTTTTTTTTTTTGGTTTTTGGTTTTTTCTCCGGTACCGGGAACCGAACTCACAACCTTGCGCATGCCAGGCAGGCGCTTTGCCGCTGAGCTAAATCCCCAGCCCCTACTGATGAAATCTTAAACTTGAATGTGTCATTGAGCCTTTCAAGCACCCCCTCCTGCCCCATGCGCACATGTTTCGGAGGGGAGGAAAGCAAAGGAACACAAAGTGCAAGGTCGGCCCAAGGCTGCTGAGCGATTTATGGAGAAGCGGCACCCACCCTGTGTGCCCTGCCTGCAGATGGAGCACCTGCCTCTAGGGCCCCGCCCCAGCCCCAGCCCAACTCCATGACTCAGAGCTTTTCTCAATGTCACCTTTCCTGAGTCAGGCCAGACTCACGCGTGGGGAAGGTGTGTGGGCCAGGAATCACACCCTGTCCACACCTCACCTCTCCTGCATCAGCAAGGACAGCTCGTCAGCCGTGTTCACTTGATTGCCTCTCAGGAGGGGCTGCCTGCTCACCCTGGCACTGCCACACACATGTGTAGGCATAGGCACCCCCACACTCTCTGACCCTCTGGCCACACTCTGGGAGACTCACTTGGAGAAGCTCAATTGTGTGTGCTTGGGGACAGGCCACTGGATGAATGCGACCCCTGCAAGGTGTCTAGAAGTGGCTGGCTGGGCGGGCTGGTTTCTGGTGGTCAGGGTATGGGCTGGTAAGGAAGCAGCTGGGATGGAGGAGGATGGATGTTCCCTCGCTGCAGGGAACAAATATCTGGGTGTGGAGCTGGGGAATTTTGAAGGGGTTTTGGTGGTAGAGCTTTGAGGACTTGGGTGTTTTGGTGCTGGGGGTTGAACCCAGGACCTTGCACACAGCAGGTTCACACTTTACCCCTGAGCCACAGCCCCCAGCCCTACGTGTGGATTTGGTGGTAGCTTTGGTAATGATGAGAGAGGACAGAAACTCCCTGGCTTGGTTTTCTCTAGAACATTCCAGAGGCCAGAGCAAGAAGGTTCAGGATGGTCCAGGGTCTTAACTCAGTTGTACAAGATGGAAGGCAGAGGGAGGGCAGTGGCCAGCCTTCTAAAAGGTTAAAGGCTGGAGGTGCTCACCACGATTTAGATGCCCTGGGGCAGCCCCTCTGTGACAGACCCGAAGCAAGAGGTGTCCATGCGGGTCGTGGACAAATCCTGTTTGACCCAGATGGAACCGGCTGTGGGTTCTCAGGCAGTGAGAGGCCTTGGTCTGTCCCTCCGGGGATCCTTATTGGAATCAAACATGGCTCAGTCCAACCCCTCACTATGTAGGGGGAAAAAAAACTGAAGCACAGAGAGGGATCAAGACTTGCTCAGGCCCCATGGCCAGTCTGGGTGGGGCAGAGTGGGCATCTGAATCCAGGCTGGCAGGCTCCAGGTCTCATGCCCTGGGTGCCCCCGGCTAGTCCTTGCTGGGTGCCTCTCCCCCACCTCAGCATCCTCATTCCGCTGCCGCCTGCTGACTATCTGCTTCCCGCAGGCCCCCTGTGCAGCTTCCTGGTGGAGCGCTATGGCTGCCGAGCGACTATGATGCTGGGCGGCGTGCTGGCCAGCCTGGGCATGGTGGCCAGCTCCTTCTGCCGCTCCCTCAGCCAGCTCTTCCTCATAACCGGAATGATCACAGGTAACTTTCACTCCACCTAAAGCGGCAGCCAGGAGGGGGCAGAGCAGGCAAGCCCCTTCATCTTCCTGAACTGCAGGACAAGGGGACGGGAGAGGGTCGTAGGGGCCTGGCCTGGGGTGAGAACTGGCAGATGTGAAACAAGAGATAAAATGCCCCAGACACTTGGAGAGGGAAACAGAAGAAGGATAAGTTTGCTGTTCTCAACGGGGCTGCCACAGACATGTGAGTAATGTATTAGTTGTCTGTCACTGAAGCAATACCTGAGATAAGCAACTTATAAATAGAGAAGGTTTATTTTGTGTACAGTTTTAGAGGTTTCGGTCCGCATGGCTTGGGCCTGTGGCGAGTCTGCAGGTTACGGCAGGAAGCACTTGGTGGGTCAAAGCTGCTCCTCGCAGTCAGGGAGCAAAAGAGGAAGGGACTGAGGTCGCACTAACCCCTTTCAAGACCCCCAGCGACCTAGAGACCTCATGCTAGGCTCCATCTCTGAACATCTCCACTACCTCCCAACAGTGCCAAGCTATGGACTGAGTCTTTAGCACATGGGAGGTTAGGGAGACATTCAAACCATAGCAAGCAGAGAGTAGCAAAGGTGAGGGAATCTGGCCCAAGGCTCTGTGAGGAAGAGTATTCCCGGCAGAAGGAACAGTGAACACAAAGGTCCTGAAATTTAGGAGCAGAAAGGGGCAGACGTAGGAATAGGGGGTCCAAGGGGTGCAGTGGAGGTGAGATGGAGGCTTAGCTCATAAAAGACTGTATAGTGATACGGGAAGCCATTTGAGGGGTTTGGTAGAATGGTTCTTGCAAGGTATCCCTCTGGGGATGAGGGATGAGTCTGTAGGGGTGTCTGTAGGGGCATCTGCAGGGGTGTGGCTAGGAGAAGCAGAAAAGGCAGGAGTGTGACCGTGAACCAAAGGGGTCGTAGCTTGGATGAGATGATGGAAGTGATAGGAGGAGGTGAAGTATGCATGAGAGGTCAAGGATGATCTGAGGTTCAAAGAGACAAGGTGACACCAAGGATTTCTGCCGTAAGCTGCTAGAAGGGTGGATGGAGCAGGCATCAACTATTATGGGGAAACTGTCAGGAGCAGGTTTGAGGAAGACGGGAAGCTTGGGTTTGAACCACCCTAGTCTGGAGTTCCAGGCAGAGGCCCTGAGCTGGAATGCACAGTTCAGGAGTCATGAGATGGGTGAAAGCGAAGACTTGAGATAAGGAATCACTTAGCTGTCACTGAGGAAATGAAGCTGACAGCTGAAGAGGCCTGAAGCTTGAGCCTGGGCATTCCAGGGATCAAAGGCCTAGACAGGAAGTCACTGGAAAAGTAGGAGGATCAGGAGAGTTTCTCAAGAAGGGATGATGTATTATGCACATTCCATTACTGGGACAAAATACCTGACAAAAACAGCTTATAGAAGAAAAGGTTTATTTTGGCTTATGGTTTCTGAGGTTTCAGTCCATGGTTGGCTGACCTGAAGGCAGAAACACGACTTCCTCTTAGCACAGAAGCAGAGAGCACAAGGAAGAGACAGGGAGGAAGAGGCTGGAGACAAGATATAGTCCCAAGATCATGTCCCCATGACCCAGTTCCTTCAACTAAGCCCCACTTCTTAAATTTCTACTACCTTCCAATAGTGCCATCAAATTATGGTCTCATCAATGGATTGATCCACTGAAGTTAGTCTTCATGATCCAGATCAACCCAGAAAGCTGTGCCTCTGAACCCACAGACTTTGAGGGGACATTTTAGACCTTCCATAACTAATGATAAAGTGTACCATGCTCCTGATGGGTTGGATGAGATGAAGGCTAGGCTCACCATTGGCAATATGGCCTTAAAGACCTTGATAAGAGTGTGTCTGGTGTGAAGGGAGGATCAAAGCCTGATCAGAATGGGAGCAGATGTTAAATTTAAATGTTAGGCTTGCCAGCCAGGCATGGTGGTACATGCCTATAATCCCAGAGTTTGAGACACTGAAGCAGGAGGATCACAAGTTTGAGGCCAGCTGGGCTACAGTGAGTTCAAGGCTAGCCAGAACTACAAACAAAGACCCTATCTTAAAAAAGGCTTCCCTAGCATGGCTTGGTACTCAGTACAGGATTAGAGAGATGGGAAGGGAGGGAAAGAGAACAGGAATGTAAGAATTAGAGAATGGCAAAGATAACACTTCCATGTTTTATTGCTGTTGTGGTGGTTTTGTTTTTGTTTTTGTTTCGTGGTGCTAGGGATGGACCTGAGGGCCTTTTGCTTGCTAAGTATACATTCTACCTCCAGCCTTTTCCACACATTTCTATGTACAGGGACCAGAGAAATGGCCTGATATCCAGCAGGACTTGTAACATAAAGAGGATTTTTCTCTCCATACTGGGGACTGAACCCAGGGCCTTTGCACTAACACTAAATCATGTCCCCAGTCTTTTTTTTTTCTTTCTTCTTTTTTCTTTTTTTCAGATAGGGCCTCACTAAATTACCCAAGCTGAGCTCAAAACTTGTGATCCTCCTGCCTCAGCCATGTGTGGCTGGCAAGGTGCTAGCCTGGCTGCAGGGTAGAAGTAGAGGGCTGGCCACTAAGAGCACAGCGGGGGGTGGGGGTGGGGTCATCCAGATAGGCGGCTGAGCGTGAGGATGGAGAGGCAACATTGGGCACACAGAGGAAGAGGCCTGCACGGTCACCTAGGAGGGCAGGCAAGTGGATGACCAAGGGAGCCGCAGCAGCAGGGGCAGCCCGGGACCCACGCGAGCTGGCAGTGGCGCATCATTCTGAGCTTTGTCTCTGGTGCGTGCACGGCTGTGTGGGTGCAGCAGGGTAGTCAGGCATGGGAAAGGCCTCTGCGCGGGAAGTGGCGTCTGAGCTGAGGTGGGAGTAGAGAGTCAGAGGAAAGCATTTTCTAGGCAGAGGAAGTGGTAACTGCCAATCTGCCGAGGTAGGGGCAGCTTGGTGTACAGAGGAGGAGAAAAAAGCTTTGGTGGCTTAACCCTAGCGAATGACAGAGTGGCCTGAAATGCCATCCGAGAGGTGGGCCCGAGCCAAACCACAGAGCCTTCTGGGCATAGTAAATACTTCAGTTGTTTTTCAAGTGTGACGGGAAGTCTTTCAAAGGTGTTAAATGGGTTTTTTAAAGGTCACTGTGGTACTGGGCTGAGGGGAACCGGGTGCTCCTGGCAGCCTTGGGAGGGCAGCTCCAAGGGGTGGGCAAGGCAGGCAGATTAACATCTTCAATCCGTAGGGACTTACAAATGGGTCTGGGCTAGACCTGAAGGAGGCAGACACAGGACATGACCCCAGGACCCTGCTCTGGGCACAGCTAGCAACCTCCTGAACACCCCTGAGCTGGTCTCCCCTCTCGCACCACAGGCCTTGGCATGAGCTTCAGCTTCCAGTCCAGCGTCACGGTGCTGGGCTTGTACTTCATCCGCCGGCGGCCGCTGGCCAATGCACTGGCCTCCATAGGCATCTCCCTGGGCTTCACCGTCTGGTCCCCATTCGCCCGCTACCTCTTGGAGAACCTGGGCTGGAGGGGCTCCTTCCTTATCTTCGGGGGGGTCTTCCTCCACTGCTGCGTCTGTGGGGCCATCATCAGGCCTGTAGCCACCAATGTCCCTGAGACCAAGGAAGATCCCCCTCCCCGTTCCAAGACACCAGCGCAAGGCTGCCTGGCAGAGTATGGCTCAGCCATCCAGCACCACCTGGCCTTTGACATCCTGCGGCACAATATGGGCTACTGTATCTACACGCTGGGTGTGACATGGATGTTCATGGGTTTCTCGCTGCCACATATCTTCCTGGTGCCATATGCCATGAGGTATGGAGTGGAGGAGTACCAGGCAGCCATGCTCATCTCCATCTTCGGCTTCTGCAACATCTTCCTTCGGCCCGTGGCGGCACTGGTAATCGGCCGGCCGTACTTTGCCTGCTACCGCAAGTACTTGTTCACCCTGGCAGTCCTGCTCAACGGGGTCACCAACCTGGTGTGCACAATGTCGGCCAACTTCTGGGTGCTGGTAGGCTACTGCCTGGTGTACAGTGTGTCCATGTGTGGCATAGGCATCTGCCTCTTCCAGGTCCTTATGGAACTTGTCCCCATCAACCGGTTCCCCAGTGCCCTGGGGCTCTTCTCCATCAGTACTGGCATTGCTGCCCTCATCTCCCCACCAATGGCTGGTGAGGCTCTGGGAGGCATCCAGGGGTGCCCGGGTGGGGTGTGGGTGGGGCAAAGTAGAACAGTCTGGACAGATCTGAGCCCCGTTCAGCACCATCTCCAGGGGTAGGGAGTCGGTGTCTGTGATTTTCCCAGGTACCCTAGGACAGCGGTGGTGAACCTGTGGCATGCGAGCCACAGAGGTCTTTGGTAGCTCTGAAAGTTTCACCATCCCCACCCTCACCCCGTTCCCCACCTGGTGGGAGTAAGAACACTTGAAATTATGGGTTTTCCCACCAGCCCTACCTGAGTTCATCTTCCTCTCCACACCTTAGTTTTCTTATCAGTGAAGGGAGGAGGATAGTAGAATCTGCCTTATGGGCTCCCTGCACTCCCCTGAGTTAAGTAGTAAAGGACTTAGTAGAGAACCTGGCACGTAATAAGCGCTATACATGTTTCCTGTTAATGTCCTGGTTCTCCTTCTTCCTATCAGATCTGGGCAAGTCATTTCCCTCTCAGAGCCACAGTGTCAGCTCCAAATGCAGAAGAGAAGCTGGGTGCGATGGCGCATGCCTGTAATCCCAGCTACTTGGGAGGCTGAGGCAGAGGACTGCAAATGGGAGGCCAGCTGGGGAAACTTGGTAGCTTAGCAAGAACAGTTCTCAAATATTCATGCAGGCCAGTCACTAGGCGCACATGGCCAGAAACCACCCTCTCGGGGCTTACATCCTGATGGAGGAGCTGGGAATGACCGCTACAGTGATTTATGCTCAGAGACAAACACACAGAACTGGGAAATAGAGACGCAGAGGAGAGGGAGTGCCAGGCAGCTGAGAGTGACTTTCAGAGTAAATGAGGGAAGGCTGGTGAAGCCCTGGGCGGTGGGACAGTCAGTACACAACACATAGTGGCAGTAATTATGGGAAGAACGGGGAAGTTGACGCCAGCCTAATGGGACTCCCCCGAGTGTCCCACTGTAAGGCACAGTTTCCAAGGCAGTTCTACAAGCACATCAGTGGAGGGAGGGATCCAGGAGGAAGGGTGGGGCCTGGGAGGGGCTGAACAAAATACCTGACTCCACCAACTCTATTCTCCTTGCTTTCTAGGCTTCCTGCTGGACACCACCAGCAACTTCGCCTATATTTTCTACATGTCAAGCTTCTTCCTCAGCTCAGCAGCACTCTTCATGGCTGGAGGCTTCTATTACCTGCAGAAGAAGGAGCAGAAAGGCAGGCAACCCAAGGCAGAAGGAGCCATCTCAGAGACCAGCCCAGTGCACGGGCCTACCCCCGACGGCAAGGACAGTCCCAGGAAACAGCCACTCCTTGAGATCGTGACCAGTGTCTGAGGCCTGCTCTGAGAGTGACATTTCTTCCAGCCAGCAGAATCCAGGAGCAGGCCTTTCTGGCTTTCTTCATTGGGTCCGGGAAGGTGTCTCTGAGCCCTGCTGGGGGCCGTGATGGCAAGCTCAGCTTGGCGAGTGCTTACTGTAGCTGCTATGCCCCAACACACTGGACCTTCCCATCCAACCTGCGGCCCTCCACCATCCACTGTCCTGTCCTTCTGTGGCCTCAAGACCGTTCTAAAAGAGAGTACACTTCCTCCAGGGGCATAAGCGATCGACCTTGAACTGTAGGACAACCAAGACTGTGGGTGTGGCTGCGCCACACAAGAGGCTGATCTCACACTGACTGGAACCCTGGGAGGAGCAGCAGCAGAAGGGCAGGCTGGGAAGTTGGCCAGAACGTGGGCTGGGGACAAATTGAAGGTCAGGTGGATCACCTGCCTGCCCTTGGCAGGAAGGAAGTCCTCGGCTTGGGTCTCCAAATCTGGGAAGTGTGAGGAGTCCCTTGGTACCTCAGCAGGGACTGCTCCAGGGTCTTCTCTGTCTCACTCACTGGGACCCAAGGAAGCCAGATGTTTGACTGACCAAGGGAAGGGAAGGGTTGCTAAACAGCCCAAGTACCATGTTGAAAACAAGACTACATTTGCAATAGAAGCCCTGTGCTCCCCTCCTGGCCTGCTAAGGCCTTTCCCCCTACTGTGTTATAAGTGTCAGCCCTATAATCCCAACACTTGGGAGGCTGAGGCAGGAGGATCACTGTGAGTTTGAGGCCAATCTGGGCTACATAATGAGCTCAAGGACAACATGAACTACAAGAGAGTCCCTGTCTCAATAATTAAAAAATAAACCAGGTGTGGTGGCTCACACCTGTAATCCCAGCACTCGGGAGGCTGAGGCAGGAGGTACTCATGAGTTCAAGACGAGCCTGGGCTACAAAGTGAGCTCAAAGCCAGCCTGAACTGCACAGCCAGACCCTATCTCAAAAAGACAAGATTTAAAAATTAAAAATAAAAATTGAAACAAAAGAGAAAGAAGAAAAGTGTCAACCTAGGACAGTAGATGGCTGGGCCTGGGCCTGGGCCTGTGGCCTAGAGGCCAAAGCTATACCCCTCACACGTTACTTGTGTGCACTTTACTTGTGCCTCCCTGAAGGCAGCACCAAGGCTGGCTGTAACCCAGGCTTGTCCCAGCCAGGCACCCAGGAAGTGGGAAAGCAGTTTGTTTAAACTGTACACAAAAACGTTCCCCACAGCAGATCGTAAACTCTGAACTCATAAAACTGAAAACAAGCCTAGAGTACATTTCCTCCCTTCCCCCTTCCTTTCTCCCAGCTTGGCCGGAGGTGCTCGGTCTCAGGCGGTTTGCTGATTCAGGCTCAGCCAAGCTCCAGCAAGAAAATCTTATCAGGAGAAATTACTTTATTTTCATCACCTGACCGCAGCCTTCCTCCTCCACATGTCCATCTGGCAAAAATAAGCATCCTTGGCTGTCCTGTGTCCTGTCTCCTCCCGGCCCTGCCACAAGTGCCCCCTTATGGCCAAAGGAGGTAGCGCAGCAGGCCGCAGAGGGCTCTGGACCTGAGTTTTGTATTTCACCGCCATAACTCTCTGCACGGGTCTGGGCAAACTGTTCACCGTCTCTAGGCCTGGAAAAACGTGGTTAGTCTGGATAAGCCAAAATCTCTGTCAATTTGAAAAGTATCAGTTGGGAATGTTGGCACACAGCTGTGATACTAGACTAGGGAAGCTGAGGCAGGAAGACTGAGAATTCAAGGCCAGGCTGGGCTACATAGTGAGACCCGGTCCCAAAACAAAACAAAACAAAACAAAAGTCTGACTCTGAGTGTCCTGAAGAAACCCAGTGCCTTTCAGCTTCCCACCCAGTCTGAGCTCAGCTACCGACTACAGCATGGCCCATCTGATTCCAGAACCACACTTAGCTGATTCCCTGAGACTCTTCTAGACAGGGCCTGGGGCCATTTGTGTGGGGGAAGGCTTGGGGCTCACTTTCATCCTGCCCCCAAGTTCTGGCCTCCCAGTACCCAGGCCTCTGCTGCTCTGTCCCCTGAAAGGCAGAGAAGACCCTTGGCCACCCTGAGCTGAGACACTTCCCCAGGCCACACGGGGTAGTTACAAATGCCAAAGGGCCTGGGGCTCACTCTGAGCAGGAAGGGTACCTCAGCACTCAGACTAAGCTCAGAAATCCTGCCCCAGCTGTGCACTGGGACCCATCCCAGGTGGGGGCTCCTATTCCCTGATCCTCTGAACCTTAGTGCCAGGTTCAGAGCATAGTCGCATGGTCCTTGTCCTCAGGGAGCTCAGAGACTAACCTGCATCTACCCCTACATTTTCAAGCATGATGCAAATATGGCAAGGTCACCTCCCTTCCAAGTGCTCTGTTCCTTAAAATCATGAGATATTGGTCACATACCACCTCCCCGAGAAGCACTGAGAAAAGGAATCAGGCCAGAGAGCTTCAGCATCCCAGGGTCCACAACCCAGAAAGCCACAGTACAGCACTCTGGGGTGAAGTGAGGTGTTTTCGGGGCTCGTCAGTGCTTCCCGAGATGCTCCCGGCCCATCTGCCTGACAAACAGCCTGATGAGCAGGGCATGGTGGCGCACATCTATAATCCCAGCACTCGGGAGGCTGAGGCAGGAAGATTGTTGCGAGTTCAAGACCAACCCGGGCCACAAAGTGAGCTTAAGGCCAGCCTGAACTGCATAGCGAGACCCTGTCTAAAAAAGCCCAAAAACAAAACAAAAAGAAAAAGAAAAAAAGAGCCTGATGATTGACTCTGGCCAGAGGTGGAGGTGGGAGGTTTAGCTCAGGGTTGGAGTGGAGGGAGTATCAGGGTCACCTTTTTGGAAAAACAATGTTAGGAAATTGAGAGTTAAAAATTGGACCACAAAGCCGAGGCCCTGACTGATTCACCGCTGAATTTTACAACAAATTTAGTGAAGGCCTAATGCCACTACTTCTCAAATTCGTTATAATGAAATTGAAAGGGAAGCAATATTCCCAAATTCATTCCTGGAAGCAAGTTTTATTCTGATACCAAAACCAGAGAAAGACCCAACTAGGAAGGACAACCACAGGCCAATCTCCCTAATGAACACAGATACAAAAATCCTCAATAAAATACTGTCAAACAGAATGCAGCATACCATCAAGAAGATTATACACCACGACCAAGAAGGATTCATCCCAAGGATGCAAGAGTGGTTCAACATAGGCAAATAAATGTAATACACCATATCAACAGACCCAAAGACAAAGACCATATGATTATCTCAATAGATGCAGAAATGGCATTTGACAAAGTCCAACACCGATTTATGATAAAAACCCTGCAGAAAATTGGAATAGATGGTCTTTATCTCAATCTGATAATAGCCATCTATGATAAACCAACAGCCAACATCACACTAAATGGACAAAAACTGAAAGCTTTCACTTTAAAATCAAGAACAAGATAAGAACGTCCATTGTCACCATTCTTATTAGAGCAATTAGACAAGAGAAAGAAATAAACAACAACAGAAAAGGAAAAAGTTAAAGTATCATTATTGGCAGGTGACATGATACTCTACATAAAACACCCCAAAAACTCCACCAAAAGATTTCTAGATTTAAAAACCAAATTCAGTATTGTAGCTGGATACAAAGTCAACACTCAAAAATCAATAGCATTCCTGTACACAAGTAACAAACTGAGAGAGAAGTTAGGGAAATAATACTTTTCACATAAACATCCAAAAAATTGAAATACCTAGGAATCAATCTAATGAAGGAAGTAAAAGACCTCTACATTGAAAACTACAGTACTAAGAAAAAGGAGATCAAAGAATATTAGAAAATGGAAAGATATCCCTTGTTCTTGGGTAGGAAGAACAAATATAGTGAAAACAGCCATACTTCCAAAATTATTATACAGATTTAATGCAATCATTAATCAAAACTGCAATAGCATATCACACAGAATTAAAGAAAACAATCCTAAAATTAACTTGGAAAAACAAGAGACCTAGAATAATAAAAGCATCTCTTTTATCAAAGCATCAAAGATAAAGCAAGGGACATCACAATCCCTGACTTAAAAGTTATACTACAAAGCTACTGTGATCAAAACAGCATGGTACTGGCAAGAAACAGACCTGAAAATAGATGGGACAGATTAAAAGATGCAGAAACAACTCCAAACACACTCAACCACCTTATCTTTGACAAATGAGCTAAATGCCTTCACTGGAAGAAAGACAGCCTCTTTAATAAATGGTGCTGGGAAAACTGGCTTTCCACATGCCAAAGATTAAAACTAGACCCATATCTTGCACCATGCACTAAGTTAAAATCCAAATGGATCAATGATCTAAATATTAAAACATAAACACTAAATTTTCTGGGAGATAGAATATGTAGAACTCTTGAAGACACTGGTGTAGGCAAAGACTTTATGAATAAAAGCCGAATCACACAGAAATTATCACAAAGAATCAACAAACAAGGTCTCATCTTATTAAAAAGCTTTTGCACAGCTTGATATGGTGGCACACGGCTGTAATCCCAGCACTCAGGAGGCTGAGGCAGGAGGATTGCCATGAGTTCGAGGCTAGCATGAGCTACATAGTGAGCTCAAGGCCAGCCTGCGCTACAGTGAGGCTGTACAACCAGGTTTTTTGAGACAGGGAGGCCCAGTCTCAAAAACAAAAAACAAAACAAAACAAAAATACAGCAAGAGAAACAACCAATCCACAGTGTGGGGAAAAAAATCTGCCAGCTGTTCCTCAGATAAAGGACTAATATCTAGAATATATAAAACACTCAAAAAAAAAAGACCTCCCCAAATTTAAAGACCCAGTCCAAAAATGGGCATTTGAAATGAAAAGACACTTCTCAGATGAAGTAGAAATGGCAAATAAATATATGAAAAAATGTTCAGCATCTCTGGTCATTCAAGAGGTGCAAATTAAAACAATGCTGAGAGTCCATCTCACTCCAGAAAGAATGGCTATCATCAAAAAATCAACCAATAACAAATTGCTACGGGGCTGTTGGGGAAAAGGAACCCTTCTCCACTGTTAGTGGGAGTGTAAACTGGTGCAACCACTGTGAAAATCAGTATGGAGATTCCTCGAAAAAGTAAAATTAAAGGTCCCATTCCACACAACTATTCCCCTTCTTGATATTTTCCCAAAAGAATTAAAAGCATCATACCAGAGCAATTTATGCACACCCATGTTTGTAGTGGCACAGTTTTTATAGCCAACTCTTAGAAACAGCCTAAATGCTCATAAATTGATGAATGGATAAAGAAGATGTGGGGTGTTTTTACACAATGGAGTACTACTCTGCCATAAAGAAGGATGCACTTGAGACATTTCTAAGTAAATGGATAGACCTTGAGACATTACTCTTTTAAGTGAAATAAACTAGACACACCTGTTTACATATTGCATGGTTTGCTCTGGCGTGAGAAATCAAAAGTGTAAAGACCAAAATGTATAATAGATATTCAGAAATGGCAAGAATATGTTCAAATGAGAAGGGGGCAACCCATTTGGGACCCCTCCAGTCTCACAGGAGCTATTCCTATTCCCTATTCCTTTTCTCCAATAAATTTTCCTACTCTTAAGAAAAGAGAAATGTACCAATAAAATCTGACTGGAGGGGAAAAAAGAGAAACGAAAGAAGACAGGAGGGTAAAAGAAAGAAGGGACAAAAAAGACAGAAGGAAAAATAGAAACAAAGCTTTTGTAAATAAAGAGGGGAAGAATTGTTGAAGGGAAGGGAGGGGAATGGGAAAAAAGAAGCAAGATACACCATGTATAGGTACAAATTCCCTATGATGAATGTTATCACTCTGTATATCTAAAATGTACCAATTTTTTTTTTAAAGAAGTGCACCACACCAGGGGTGGTGTGGCACCTGCTTATAATCCTAGCACTTGGGAGGCTGAGGCAGGAGGATTCCCGATAAGTTCAAGGCCAGCCTAGACTACATAGTGAGTTCAGGACCAGCCTAAACTACATAGTGAGACCCTGTCTCCAAAAAACAAAACAAGCAGCCAGGCATGGTGACGCATGCCTGTAATCCCAGCACTTGGGAGGCTGAGGCAGGAGGATCATTGTGAGTTCGAGGCCAGCCTGGGCTACAAAGTGAGCTTAAGGCCAGCCTGAACTGCATAGCGAGACCCTGTCTCAAAAACAAACAAACAAAACAATAAAGAACAAAACAAAATGCTGATAATTAAACAAAAACAAAAAAAGAAGTGGATCCATTTCAAGGCTATTAAATTAAAGGAATACAAGAGACTAAGAAGTCAGCTCAATCTTCAAAGACTATGCGGGGTCAGCGGATACCAAGATGCCACAGCCATGCACAAAAAAAGTCACTAAGACCAAGTCTATTAATGCAGGGGAAGGACGTGCCCTGTTCCAAAGCCCAATTAGGAATTTTCTCAGATGATAAAGGACAAATTCTAGGTGCTATGGAATAAATATATCCATAGTCATTGAGGTGGAGCCAAGATGGTAATGAGACATGTATCCCATAGCATGGTATTGTATATCTTTGTCCTTTGGGTCAGCCTGGGGTTCCTGTCCTCCACGACTTTCCACCTTGTGCTCAAGCATAAGAATAAAAGCTTTGGGGCCAGGGATACAGCTCAGCGGCACAGCGCCTGCCTGGCATGTGCAAGGTCATGAGTTGGATTCCCGATACCAAAGGGAAAAAAAAAAGAATAAAAACTTTGTTTCTGTGCCCAAGTGCTTCTGTCCGATTCTTCCAATGAAAAACACAGGGTCTACAGAGTTGACGCGCTCCAGAGGGTCTAGGAAGCCACGCTGCCCACTCCAATTCCATCAAGTGCTTCTGCGCTCTACATTGGCGCCTCCCCACTGTTCTGTGCTCTGAGGCCATCTACCGTCCGCCTTCTTTAGGCGCATGGCCAGAGGGTAGAGCGGGGAAACACGCTACGCATGCGCGCCGAGGAGTTCAGCGATGGTCCTTCCCTCCTCCCCAATCTAGCCCCGCCCCTTCCGCTCTTTAGGGGCGGGGCCAGCTCGACTTCCGCTGGAGCCCGGAACTGAGCCTTCGAGGCGTAGGTGGTTGGCTGGCTCTGCTGGAGCATCAGCACCCCCGGGCATCCTGTTCGAGCTCACAGCCGCGTCGATGTCCTCTGTGCCTCAATTTTTATTTTCTTTTTTTTTTTTTTTTTTTTGAGACAGGGCCTCGCTATGCAGTTCAGGCTGACCTTAAGCTCACTTTGTAGCCCAAGCTGGCCTCGAACTCGCAACGATAGTCCTGCCTCTGCTTCTCGAGTGCTGGGATTACAGGCGTGCGCCACCACGCCCGGCCCTTAATTTTGATTTTCGAGCCCACCTCTTACAGCATCCTGGAACTCGCCTGCCCTGTTCCGCACACCCCGTTTCCAACTGCGATTTACCAGAGCCTGAACCCGTTTACCGCCGCGTCCGTCCTTGCTGGGTCAGGTGAGGGCCAGGTAAGGTTCTTGCCCTGCTGTCGCGCCTTCTCTTTCCACTGTCCACCCGACCATGGCCCAGAAGCCGAAGGTGGAGCCCCACATCGGACGGCTCGGGTACCTGCAGGCGCTGGTCACCGAATTCCAGGAGACAGAGAGCCAAGGTGAGGGGCGCGGGCTGGGCGCCGGGGGACCGCGCAGGGGCCCGGCCGCGACCCCCGCCCGGACCCTGCTCCAGTGCCGCTCTCCCGTTGCAGACGCCAAGGAGCAAGTCCTCGCCAATCTTGCCAACTTCGCCTATGACCCCAGCAACTACCAATATCTGCGGCAACTGCAAGTCCTGGATTTATTCCTCGATTCGCTGTCGGAAGACAATGAGAGCCTGGTAGAATTTGCTATTGGTAAGGGCAGGACCAGCCCCCCGCATACCCGTGGGCTGAGATGAGTGAGTCTGAAATGAGTCCGTAGGAAAGGGATCTGAAACCAGTTTGAGAGGAGAGTTTGGGGATTACCCTTGAATATTTTAATACTCAAGAGAGGCAAAGGTGACTGCTAATCTGTAGCTTGGGACTTCTGTGTCATGATCTTGAGACATATTGAATTAGTCACAGGCCAGATGTTTATTGGGCAAGTGCTGTATTAGCAAGCACACAGCTGTAATCCCAGCACTCTGGAAGCTGAGGCAGGAGGGTCAAAAGTTTGAGCCCAGCCTGGGCAAGTTAGCAATTTAGTGAGATCCTATCTTAAAATAAAGTTTTGCCGCCGGGTGTGATGGCACACACCTGTAATCCCAGCACTGGGGAGGCTGAGGCAGGAGGATCGTTGCGAGTTTGAGACTAGCCTGGGCTACAAAGTGAGCTCACAGCCAGCCTGAACTGCACAGCGAAACCCTGTCTCAAAAAGACCAAAAAAAAAAAAAAAGTTTCACCAATAAAATGTGATTTAAATAAGTAAATCAATAAATAAAATAACATTTTAAAAAATTAGGCACAGCCTATAGCAGCTGTCTTCACCGAGCTGGTGCGGTTACGTTTAGGCGCCTGAGAGTACTGGCTAGCGCTAAGGGAGCACCCGCTTGCTTTGAGCGAGGCGCGGTCTTGTCTCCTTGGGTGGGGAGACTGCCGTAAAGGTAGCTGTGCTTACAACACCCACTTTCAGGAGCGGGAGAGAGAGGCCTAGGAGGGTGCAGTGGCCTGAGCAGAGATTTAGAGTGTCTGCCCTGGGATTTAAACCCAAAGCCATCGGATTCTGGAAGCTTATTCCCTTAACCTTATTCCTGCTCCTACAAAAGTTCCTCATTCCTGGGGCTGTGAAGTGAAAGCTGGAAAGGAATTTATTTCTAACCTCTTATTTTCCTGATAAGGAAACTCAGACACAGAAGCTGCCCTTCATGTCTCTGTGTAGGCTCTTCTGTGACCTCCTGGCAGACCTCTCCGTCAGTATGACTCCAGCCCTGAGGAAGGACCTGGAATCAGTCATTGCAGAAAGCAGCAGGAGGTTTGCAAGGGTTTTTTTTGCTGAGTTCTCCTACACGCACCCCCACAACAACTAACAGGTTGTTTGGGGGGTTTTTTTGGTTTGTTTTTTTTTGTCTTTTTGAGACAGGGTCTCACTTTATAAAGTTCATGCTGGTCTTAAACTCACTTTGTACCCCAGGTTGGCCTCACACTTGCAGTGATCCTCCTGCCTCAGCTTCCCGAGTGCTGGGATTACAGGTGTGTGCCACCACACCCGGCTAGTGGCGCACACCTGTAATCCCAGCACTCAGGAGGCTGAGGCAGGAGGATCATTGCAAGTTCAAGACCAGTCTGGGCTACAAAGTGAGCTCAAGGCCAGCCTGAACTGCATAGTAAGACCCTATCTCAAAAGGACAAAAAAAATTTAAAAAAAATAAATAAAGACAGGGTCTTGCCAGGTAGCCCAGACTGGATTTGAACTTGTAATCCTCTTGCCTCAGCCTCCCAGAGTGCTGGGATTATGGGCCCGACACTGCCATGCCCAGGTCCAATTTGACCTTTTGAGGATTTGCCCACTTACTCTGATTTATTTACCCTTTGCCTATGCATCTGGCTGCCTTTACTACTCTCAGGGTCCAGGCTTCTGCTGCGCACTCTTACAGTAAATGCTGCCTTTTCTGGACAGCTGCTCTGACACCACCATGCACCACTGCAGCCCACCTCGGACCTGCACTGCCCACAAGATCTGAATCTGTCACCACGGGCAAGGCAGGTATTACTAACCCTCTTTTACATACTTAGGGAGGTTAAATCCACTGCTGGAGGTTCACACTTGGTAGTGATAACTGGAGCCAGGATTTTTCCCTAGTCATCCGCAATCTAAATTCTCTATCCAGGGCACCCAGCTGGCAGAACTCAGGCTTAGACTCCCAGGCATAGTCTTCCCTTGTTGTTTTGCTGCACGTGTCTTCCTCCGCCACATCTGTGAGTGACTTCTGGTGGGCAGTCATCCCTGCTGCTCCAAGTAGTGCCCACAGCCCACGGCCACATTGATCAGTGTCATAGAGGAACTGCCACTGGGAGGCAGCTACAGTCAGGCCAGAGATGCCCTAGATTGGGAGACTGGATGAGAAGTTTGGTGAGTTATAGGGAACCAAATATAAAACTAGGATCTCAGGAAGTTCTTGTTGAATGAATAAAAATACCTAAACTGATGCTTAAATTAAAAATACCAGCTGGGCATGGTGGCAGACACTTGTAATCCCAGTACTTGGTAGGCTGAGGCAGGAGGATCACCATGAGGTCAAGGCCAGCTTGGGCTACAAAGTGAGCTCAAGGCCAGCCTGAACTGCATAGCAAGACCATGTCTCAAAAAGAATCGAGAGAATTCTTTGTTCTCAAGAGAACTCAGTGAATCCTAGGATATCACAGAATCCTTGTCAGTTATTGTTTTGTTTCCATGTCACTTTTGTTACTAAAGCAGGAATTAAGCAACTTCTGTTCTATTTCCTGCAATACACATCGCTGCCACCAGATGGTAGTGGTGCTTAGGTAAGGACTAGTACACAAGCCCTCAGCAGCCTCTGGAAAAGAGCATTTTGTAAAATGGAAGCCAGGCACACTCTGTGAGCCCCAGTTCCGTTCCAAGGGCTGAGGACATGCACATCCACGCATGTGCACAGAAAGTCAACAGTAGCTACCCACACCATGGGCTGTTTGTACTGCTTTGCAGCAAAACAAGCATCCAGCCACGCGTAGTGATCTTTCAGATGTAATGTTGAGTGAATGATGCTGAACATGGGAAGTACCTCAGTGTCACCAGCGAGCTGTGCACTTCAGAGGGAGGAGTGGACTGGACAGAGACGGGCCTGCTGTGGCTCGCCTGAGTGCTGGTCACACGGGCACTTGCCTTCTCACTTCAGACCCACTTTTGTATGCGGGGTTCCTGGAGTGGCTTGGTGGCAGCCTCTGGGCGGGAAACAGGCGCACGCTTGGTCCATAGGTAGTGTGCCAGCCAGGAATCCTAATCGCATTGGACAGTTCTCCCTGACGTTTCACTGTTGGGGAAATTGAGTTGCTTTGCCTGGTCCCCTAGGTTCTCAGTGGCAGAACTGGGATTCTCACTGGATCTGCCCGGCACAGACAGAGTCCTTGCTGCATCACTGTGTCTGGGGCTCCCTGTCCCTTTGTACCACTCCGGCTCCTGGGGTCACACATTGTTTTGCTTTAAAAAGATTGCACAAGCTTGTGCTCGCTTCGGCAGCTGCAGAGATAGATTCCTCCTCCCTGTGGCTCAAGGCACAAGCAGGGTGGGTGTATGTGTGTGTGTATACATGTACACACTTTATTAATTTATGAGAATGTGGCCAGGCATGCTGGTGCACACCTGTAATCCTGGCATGCTCGGGGGCTGAGCCAAGACTATTACAAATTTGAGCCCAGCCTGGGCAATTCAGCAACTCAGTGAGACCCTGCCTCAAACTCAGACTGGAAGCTGGGCGTAGTGGTGCACGCCTATAATCCCAGCACTTGGGAGGCTGAGGTAGGAGGATCACTCTGAATTTGAGACCAGCCTGGGCTACATAGTGAACTCAAGGCTAGCCTGAACTGCATAGGGAGACTCTATCTCAAAAACCATAAATGCAAACATTCATACATACATACATATATATACAAATAGATGGGAGACCTGGTATGGAGACCCTGTCTTAAAAAAAAATGGAAAAAGGATTGGGGGTGTAGCCTAGTGTGAAGGCTTTGATTCTGTCTCTGCATACAGACTCTCAAAAAAGCGACTGTGTAATTGATTTGCATGGTATAAAATTCAGAAAGATGCATGAGTGATCAGTAGCTCTCCTTCACCTGCCCTTTCTTTTCTTTTGTTGCTGGGCAGTGCACCCTGGGCCACTTACATGCTGGACAAGTGCTTACCACAGAGCCATACCCTCCGCCCCCACCCCCGGTAGCCTTTTGTAGAGGAAACTACTATTACTAGTTGCTTATATGTTCTCCAGAGATATTTTCGGAATTTATAAACAAATATGTGCCTATCTCCTATAGGTGAAGTAATTTCCATATTCTTTGCAGGGGGGCGACTTTGAGACAGGGTCTCGCTGTGTAGTTCAGAGTGGGCCTCGAACTCAAAGTGATTCTCCTTCCTCAGCCTCCTGAGTGCCGGGATTACAGGCATGTGCCATCATGCCTGGCCTTCTGTATTCTTTAAAAACATGAATTAAGGGGCTGGGGATTTAGCTCAGCGGCAAAGGGCCTGCCTGGCAAGCGCAAGGTCATGAGTTCATTTCCTGGTACCGGAGAAAAACAAAAACAAAACAAAACAAAACAAAATTAATATAGCAACATATCTTGTCATGCCTCTCACACCCATTGGTAAAGTGCTCCCTCACACTTTAATATCCATGGCACATTATGCCCATGTTGTGCCAGCCCCTGGGGCACAGGCATTTGGGTTCTTTCTTTACTTTCACAGCAGACTGCCTTGTTTGTACGTCATTTTGCACTTGCAGGAGTTTATCTATAGAGTAGGTTTCTAGAAGTGAAATATTTGGGTCAGAAGTAGGAAAAGCTTGGCATGGTGGTGACACCTGTAATCCCAGTATGCAAGAGGCTGAGGCAAAGGATCACCAAGATTGAGGCCAGCGTGGCCTACTTAGTGAGTTCAAAGCCAGCCTGAACTACATAGTGAGACCCAATCTTTTAAAATAAAAAGGTAGTAAGAGAACCCATGAAGCCTTTATTTTATTCTTTTGAGACAGGAGGCTTCCTTGAGTCCAGGAATTCGAGGCCAGCCTGGGCAATGTAGTAAGACCCCATCTCAAACAACTATGTTACAGGGTATTTCTGAGACGTCTCTCCCTTCCTATCCTGCCACCCTGTTCCCTGCCTCCTATTACTTCTTTCCTTAGTTTGGTTTTTTTAATTTTATGGGAAAAAAGGTAGAACAAATGTCATAACAAAAGAACAGACTAACAGGACAAGTGTTCTACTTGTAGTGTTTTACAGATATGAGCACATGCATATACTGTATGTATATTCTCCACTTGGGCCCATGCCTAATAAATTGTGACTTACTCTTCTGTGTCTCAACCTCAGATTTTTAAAAGAAACAATTTTCAAGATATTAAAATCCAAAGACACAGCCCCCGATAGAATTTTGTTGTTGCAAGTTTTTTTGCTTTGTTTTCTGTGGTGCTGGTGATCAAACCCAGGGTCCTCTGCATGCAAGACAAGAGCTCTACCACGGAGCCACATCCCCAGGCCTTGTTTATTTTAGTGTGTTGTTTTTTTGAGATAGGGTCTTGCTGTATAGTTCAGACTGGGTGAAAACTTCCAGCGATCCCCCTCCCTCAGCCTCCCAAGTGCTGGGACTACAGATGTGTGCCACCCCACCCAGCTTATTTGTGAGGCAGGAGTCTTTGCTGTGTTGCCCATGTTGGCCACCATCTGGGATCACTCAATTCTCCTGCCTCAGCCTCCTGAGTAGCTGAAACTACAAATGCATGCCACTATCCTAAGCCCCACTGAAAATCTGACCCTGGGCTGCATACACCCAGTGCCCCGGGGCAGGCGGGTCCTCAAGTGTAGTAATGTCTCAGGCCACCTGACAAGGGCTGGCCCAGCCACCAGATGTCAAGTGCTGAGAATGCCATCTTGAGCAGCATTTAATCCTTGGGACAGTCCTTAGACCTGCCGTTGTAGGCCAGCTTGTCCCTCCCAGCACGAACGGGCCACTGCCTGTGCAACCCAAGGTCGCTTCCTGGCCTCACCCAGGCTCTGGCTGTATGTGGCGTTTCCATGGCTTCCCTCATAGAAGGGCTGGGCCTGCTTGTTCTAGTGCTGTCTTTATTCTGTCCAGAGCACATCCATTAGCCAGTCAGAACTTGTTCTACCATTCATTTTGTAGCCAGTTTTATAATTGTACCACAGTCAACCTACAGTAGAGCACATATATCCTTAGTGCCATTTCAGTGAATTTTTAAATTCTTTAAGATTGCTGCCACTGCCCGGTCAAAGCCACTGTCTCAAAAAGGAAGGAAGGAACAAAGGGAAGGGAGGGAGGGGGAGAGAGACAGAGTGACAAAGAAAGGAAGGGAGCAGGAGCAGCCCCTGCCCTTGCCGAGAGGGAAGAGGGTCCTGCCCTTGCCGAGAGGGAAGAGGGTCTATACACTTCCGAAAGGCTGGGTGACCTCAGGCCTTGAGAGGGTTGCAAACTCAAGTGGCCTTTGTGTCCCTTGTCACCAGCCAACTTCTCACAGTCCTGGGTCCCCCCCGGGACTCGCTGGAGGCTAGGGGGAGGGGCAGGAAGCCTGGTGCTGGACCCAGACTCATCCCTGTTCTCCCCCAGGGGGCCTCTGCAACCTGTGTGCAGACAGGGCCAACAGGGAGCACATTCTGCAGGTGGGTGGCATCCCGCTCATCACCAACTGCCTGTCCAGTCCCAACGAGGAGACCGTGTTGTCGGCTGTCACCACGCTCATGTACCTGAGCCCGCCAGGTGCCGCCTCCCACCCTGAACTCGCCTCCTTGCCCGTGGTCCAGTGCATGCTGCGCTTCTCTCTCTCAGCCAACGTAAGGCTCCGGAACCTGGCCCAAATCTTCCTGGAGGACTACTGCTCCCCAACCCAGGTGGCCGAAGCCCGCAGCCGGCAGGCCCACTCTGCCCTGGGTATCCCCCTGCCAAAGACTGAAGCCCCCCAGCAGCCCTGATCCAAGGGGGCCCCAAGGCCCCAGCACCTTTACTCTGCAGACCGAGTCCTGGTGGGGGCGCAGGCAGCAGACGAGCACAGTCCACCGTAGCGCTGCCTGCTCAGCATGTTGAAGCTGATATGGTTCAGTGCAACAGGTACTCACGCTCGGATGAAAAGGCATTAGGAGTGGGGAGGCCAGACCTCAAGGCACAGAGAGGCACAAGCTGAAGCTGGTGCCACTTCCATGCTGGCACCCCCAAGGACCGACCCACTGCCACTCTCCGGCACATACCATGTAAGCAGCAGCTGCTTTCTGGCTTAGGAGAGTTGCCTGCACCTGAGCAAATAAGGGATCACCCCCAACAGCAATATCCAGAGTCATTCTGAGAGGCCCTGGGTTCAGTCCCAAGCACCACAAAAAAATTAAAACCACACTGACATACACCTGTAATTCAGCAGTCCAGGAGGCTGCGGCAGGAGGATCACAAGTTTGAGCCCAACCCAAGCAACACAGCAAAACCCTATCACAAAAATGAAGGCCCAAGTCGGGCATGGTGGAGCACGCCTGTAATCCTAGCACTCAGGAAGCTGAGGCAGGAGGATCACTGGAGTTCGAGGCCAACCTGGGCTATAAAGTGAGCTCAAAGCCAGCCTAAACTGCATAGCGTAACCCTGTCTCGAAAGACCAAAAAAAAAAAAAGCCCAGATGTAGAGCACTGCAAAGCTCCTGGGTTGAATCCCCAGTGCTAGGAGGTAGGAAGCAAGCACCCTGGGATCAGGAAGCAGGGAAAGTGTCATGCCTTTCCAGGTCTGTGGAGGATGGAGACCCCTGCCTCAGGTCTGCAGGCTGCACATGGATATGCTGATGCAGCCAGCCGCCACCTAGGATTAACTGTCCACACAGCCCTACTATCAGCCAGGTCCCACATAAGAGCTCCCAAGATGAAGATGTGGTCCCCATGCTTGAGTGACAGCCTAGTGACTGTTAACTTGGCCACCAGGCATTAAGACCAAGGCCCTGGAGGTGATGATAGATCAGAAAAAGGCAGGAACCCTTAGCCAGGCATGGTGACACATACCTGTAATCCCAGCACTTGGGAAGCTGAAGCAGGAGGATCGGTGTGAGTTTGAGGCCAGCCTGGGCTACATAGCAAGACCCTGTCTCAAATGTAAAAGATGGGATCCCTTGAGCTGTAAACACCACACAGACATGAATGGAAGCCTGGCTGCCCTCCTGCTATCACAGATGAGAGGGCATCCTACTCCTAGATGTTGAAGGCTGCAGGGATGCAGGGGAAAGAGATGCTCCCAGAGACGAGGCATTTACAAGGGTGCAGCCTGGTGTCCGCAGTGCATGTGCATTGGGCCGCAGAAAGGTGCCTGACAGGAACTTGTGGTTCAGGAAGAGTGGGCTCTACCTGCCCTTAAGCTTGACCCCATAGTGGCCAAAAGGCCATGCTAGAGGAACACTGACCTGACGCGGGAAGAAGCCACTGGGCTAAGACAAAGAAGGGGCTTCTGTCTCTCTTTTCCCAAATAAAAGGACTTCAAGACCAGAGAGCTCAAGTTTTTTATTAAAATGGTCTTGCAGGATATTTGTCACTAATTCCGTGCCGGCCATGCTAGGGGACCTTGGCGGGAGGTACCGGGGGCTGGGCCTGTGCTCTGGGGGAGTCTGTCCTGTCCTGCCCTGCAGGGGTGACCCGGCCCCTGCCCGGTCAGCGCCGTCCACTGCAGGTCTGCTCATGCCTGCTGCACAGCTCCCCGCTTGCTGTCTATGATGTCCCTCCAGCTGTCACTCCAGGAGAGCAGCCGTCTCTTCGTGGGGGGCAGGGCTAGGTGCTGATTGTGGCAGCAGGTGAACAAGATGTGCTCCCAGTGTGGCGCCTGCTCCAGGCCTGGCACAGGAAAGCGGTGGGCATGTCAGCTGGCTGCTTATACTCACTCTAATCGGGGCAGACCACGTGGGTAACAGCTCCCACCTTGAATGCTGTCCTTGTCATCGATGAGGAGGTCCCCCAGGACCATGGTCTTGTCCCTCGTCAGGATAATGCGCTCCACAAACTGGGGCCCGAGGTGCCGCTCCACCCAGCGGTACTGTGTAGGAGACAGCAGTGTCAGCGCAGCCTGAAGACCCTGAATTCACGGGCAGTGAGCAGGGGTATGAGTGTTTGAACATCAGTTCCTCTCCTCAGCCTTCACTATCTGTTTCAGTGTGATTTATCTTTAAAATAATGATTTAGAAAGCTAGCCAGGCATGGTGACGGACTCTTGTAATCCCAGCCCTTGGAAGGCTGAGGCAGGAGACTCTAGTTGGAAGCCAGCCTGGGCTACAAGCAAGTTTTAAAGGCCACCCTGGATGACATGAAGAAAGTTTTTTTTTTTTTTTTAAAGGTTTAATTTGCTCAGGCGGCCAGTACCTTCTCACCCACACAGTGGTCGTACTTCAGCAGAGGGCTGGTGCAGATAAAGACTTCGGTGCTGCAGACAAGGGTGCCAGTGAGAAAAGGTGGTGTCGCCGCCGCTCCCCCTCCCGTGTCGCCGTCCCTCCCGCCCAATCCTCCTTACTCTTGCATGTCGTTCATCTCCCGCATGGCTTCCAGGGCCCCCGGGATGGGGTCTAAGTCTAGAAAAAAGCCCGGGGCTTCATACACGCTGGCCACTTTATCCTGCAAGACAGAGTTCTCGGTTCCTCTCTGCCTCCAGCAGATGGCGCGCCGGCGAGGACGCACAATAAGCGGTCCAGGTCCGACCCAGAGAAAGAGGATTATGTTGGAGCGGTGGGAGATACAGGGGGATTTCTGTATCAGATTTTCTGGTCCCAGGGTGAACTGTGGGTTTAGCAGTGGGTGTTACAGCCAGGCGTGGTGGCGCACGACTGTAATCCCAGCACTCAGGAGGCTGAGGCAGGAGGATCGTTGAGAGTTCGAGGCCAGCCTGGGTTACAAAAGGAATTAAAGACCAGCCTGCACTGCATAGCGAAACCCTGTCTCAAAAAGACCAAAAAAAAAAAAAATGAAGAAGAAGTGGGTATTAGCCAAGCGTGGTGGCGCACCCTGCAACCCCGGCACTCTGGGAAGCTAAGGATGACTGCAAGATCGAACCCAGCCTGGGCCACCTGGCGGGGTTCTGTCTCAAGATAAAAAAATTAAAAAGAGACTGGGTTCAACTACCTGTACCGGGGCGTGTTTTGCTCATTTCAAACGGAAAGGGGTGTCCCCGGAAAGGAGCCCGGCCGCTCCTGCCCACGGAGGGGCTCCGGTCTCCTACCGCGAGGTCGGGCCGCAGGGCACGGTACTGCTCGCGGGCAAGGAAGCCCCGGCGCTGCTCCAGCGGCACGTGCGGCTCCTCGGGGAAGCGGCGGCGGAAGCCCCGCAGGAGGCCGGCCTCGAAGTCCGCCAGCACGCCGTCCATGTCCACCAGCACGCGCACTGGCCGCGACGCCATGGCCGCGGGAGTCCCGGGGGTCTCGAGCTGCCAGGCGTGAGCCGTACGAAAGCGCGTATGGCGGCGCGCGACGTGGGGCCCGCGCGCGGGGACCGGCCACTTCCGGAGCCGCGGCAGGTGGGCGGAGCTCTACCGCGGCTAATTTGCATAGAGCACCGGGGGAACGCCCCCGACGCCGGGCGGAGGTCTTCCAATCTGCGCGTGCGCGAAGCCTTCTAAGGACCCTGCGGGAGATCCCGGGCGGGTTAAGGTGCTAATTTTTGTGATCGTCGGGAATCACCTGTGTACCCACAGCAGATGTACCCTCTCCTCACCCCACATTGTTACTAGGGGCAGACCTTACAAGGGGAGATCTAATATGCTGGGGAACATCCAAGGAGTCAGTTCCTCAAACCTGTAGGGCTGGCTCCGCGTCTTAGAATCCATCTCTGCAGACCGGGGCCACGGTGAGCTCTGCCCTTCCGGCTTGCTGAGGCTGGAGCGAGACAGGAACCAGAGCTCCTGCTGTTTGAAGAAGGCGCCAACCACCTCCCGAATCGGGGGCCCTCAGTTAATGAAACGAACAGATCTACGGAAGACCACTGGGCTTGTGAGTCAAGCTCCAGAGACCGATGCTGCGCTCTCTCGGCAGCACATGTGCGGAGACTGATACATAAACCAGCGTTGCTTGGAAGCCTGGGCGCACCTACTTTAATTGGAAAGGCGATTTCCATCCAGCTCCAGGAATCAGGACTGCCTGCCTCCGAAGCTCGCGTCGGATCAGAAGCTTCTGCTTCCCTCACCCCGAAAATGCTGAACAGTTGGAAATTTTGCTGACTTCACGTTTTCAGACTACATCCAAATCTATTTACCTGAAGACTATAGTGACGTCTGTTGTTCGCCATCTGGCCACCCTACTCCCAAACCGGTGTGGCAGAAGCGTAACCAGCGCGCAACTTTAAAGGTTAGTTGCTTTTTTTTTAAATTTTAGAGATAAGCAACTTCTCCAAACGACCCCCTGCTGAGCACATACCCAATACCTTCTCCTCTCCTCAGCCCAAAAGTGACAGAATACGCAGATGCCGGCCTCCGGAGAAAGAAGAAAGATTAGCTGAAGATGGCTTCAGTGATAGAGCAAGTGGAGATCTGCGTTGTCTCTGCGCTGCCCCTCCCCTCTGACCCTAAAGCTCCTGACACTCAGTGTGAGAAGATTGTGATTTGAGGCAAATGGGCCCTTCATCTCCTTGGCGCCGGCTTTGAATAAACCCTTTTTTCCTTTTCCCCAAAATGCATGGTCTCCTTTGGTCAGTAGCACGAATCTAGCTTAGGAACCTGAGCGGCTGGAACAGAAACATCCCAAGGGGAGCCTGACACCTCATTCTAAGGTGAGCCACGTGGCAGACTGTGCAAGATGACATCTGCATAAGCCATATATACTAAGTTTCCAACTGTTTTGTTTCCCTCTGTTACTAGGGAAGTGAAGTCACACAGAGTCAAAGGTCCAACTGCCATGATATTTTACCTTTGGGGAAGATTTTTCTTTTTCCCCTGGTATTGGAGATTGAACCCAGGGCCTTTGCACATCCCTAGACTTTTTTGAGACAGGGTCTCGCTTGGTTACCCAGGCTGTGCTCAAACTTGCCATCTTCCAGCCTCACTTCCCGTAGTGCTGGGATTACAGGCATGCAGCACCACACCTGGCCACCTTCTGGGTCACTTTTAATAGTCATCAAAATTACCACTGCCACTTTAAAATCACAACTTCACTTTTCAGACCCAAAGTTTCCTAAGTCTAGAAACATCCTCTAAAAAACGTTTCAGGTTCCTAAAATAGTAATAAAATTACTGGTTGCACTGTCCCCTTGCCTAGAACACCTTTCATTTTAATAAAGTGCTTATATATCTTTATACAATAAAAAATTAAAGGCCACGCTCGGTAGTGCATACCTTGTAATCCCAGCACTCAGGAGGCTGAGGCAGGAGGACTGCTGAGTTTGAGGCCAGCCTGGGCAAAACAGTAAGACCCTATCTTAAAAAAATTAAAGCCAAATATGAAGTTGTGACACAAACCAGAGACATTCCTTTTGTGGACGCCTCAGCTTTACTTCCTATTTCACAATATCTATTATACATTTTCATCCTTATGTACACTTTCAGTTCCTCACACCAAAAAAACTGTATTTATACATGTGTCCTACTTACTTAAGGGTATGTTCTCCTTTACCTAGAAATGTCTCGTTTGTCCTTCTTTATGGCTGAGTAGCACTCCATTGTATAAAAGAACTGTATCTTTTTTTTTCTTTTTTTGCGGTACCGGGGATCGAACTCACGACCTTGCGCTTACCAGGCAGGCACTTATGCCACTGAGCTAGATCCCCAGCCCCTGTATCTTCTTTATTCATTCATCAGTTGGTGGACATTTGTGCAGTCCTCCTCTTTGAACACCTACATTGAGAAGGACCTCAGGAGTATGGAGATAGACTCACTTTGGGTTCAGGAGAGGAACTGAGAGCTTCTCAGGCTAAGCACGTGTGCTACTACTGAGCTACACCCCCAGCCTAAGTCTTAAGGGCAGCGGGTAGGAGAGACTTTTTGCAGAAAAACCCACTTCCCTCTGGGCCTTGGCTACTTTAAATGACTTATCAAGGGGCGGGGTTCATAGTAACAAAGAAAAGAGCCAGAGGAAGAACACTGAAACAATGTCAAAAAGATGACACAGGACACAGCATTTCAAAATGTGGGTATTGTTTACTTGAAGCAACAGTCCAGGGTTGTGAATACAACACACATTTTAAGGATGAGACTTTCGTTTCATGGTCAAGCACCAGCATCATGCACACAGCGTCAAGTTACTGAGTGAGAACAGCGTCCCTGTGGGGTCTGCTCCTGCACAGAGACCCGCCTCCGTGCGGCCGCCCTTGCTCGCTTCGCATGCGCATGCTTCACGGCAGGCGGCGACTGTGACATCCGACGCCTCTCGCCGCACCAAGGGAGCAGGCTCTGCTCATCAGCCAGCCGAGCGCGGAAGGTGAAAAAGGCAGCTGCTTTGCTCTGCGAGGAGCGAGGCTCCGCCCCTTTCCGGCTGCGCGGCACAGGAGGAGCACTTAGCAAAGGGCGCGGGGAGGGGAGGGCAGGGCCACAGCGAGCGGCGCTGCAGACAGCCTGGCGCTCGGGCCGATCACTCACGGGAAAACCTCGGTACAAAAGAGCCTCTAAACATCGGAACCAATCATTTGTTCTTAAAAACACGGTACTAAGTGTCACAAAGCCTTCCCTCCAATCTAATACTAGAAAAACACTCATGCCATGGCCCACAGACCCAGGAGTCAGAGAGAGAGAGCGAAACCTGTTTCTTCAAAAAGAAAAGGAAAAAGGGGAGGAAAAAAAGACAGCAGTACATAAAGTGCTTCTTTTTTAATGAAACAAATCCAAAAGATGTACAGTCAGGCTCAAGTTGTGCAGTTCACAAGCATGGAGAAAAACGAACAAACAAAACGACAGAGTTCAGGACAGGGAGTTAACCCAAGACCAGGCTGGACTTGCCGCCAGGGGGGTTTCTCCGGGACGGCGCGGGCGCCGGGGCCACGGGGCTGGGCACGGGCGCGGCGGGCACAGGCTTCTCTTCGCTGGACCCCAGGCTGGCTTGCAAGTCTGTGTCCACATTTTCTAGAAAGTAAAGAGCAAAAAAAAGGGAAGCTAATAAGCACTTCAGTTAAGACTAAGACGCTAGGGTCTAGGGATTTGGCCCAGGGGCAAAGCGCCTGCCTGGCAAGCGGAAGGTCATGAGTTTGATTCCTGGTACGAGAAGAAAAACAAAAAAAAAGACTACGAGGCTGTTTTTTTCTTTTTTTGCTTGAGGATGGCTACAAACATACCTAAAAACATAAAGAACAAATTAATAACCACTAATCATGTTTCAGCAACTCAGATTTGAACACTATTGATGCTTGGTATATTTGTTCTATGCTTGTTCCTTTAAAATTACACAAATAGCCAGGCATGGTAGTGCATGCCTATAATCCCAGCACTAGGGAGGCTGAGGCAGGAGGATCGCCATGAGTTCAAGGCCAGCCTAAGCCACATAGTGAGTTCAAAACCAGCCTGAACTACATAGCAAGACCCTGTCTCAATAAAAGTAACAAATTAAAATGAAAAATAAATAAAATTACACAAATATATGAAGACATAAAGATTTTAAATTAAAGCCAGGCATCCCTATAATCCCAGCACACAGGAGGCTGAGGCAAGAAGATTAGGCTACATCATGAATTCAAGACCAGCCTGCAGCCGGGTGTGGTGGCACAAGCCTGTAATCCCAGCACTCGGGAGGCAGACTTTTCAACTTCACAACATGAGAAAGTGGAACACATTCAGTAGGAACTTGATTTTTTAAAAAAAATTTGTTTGTGATACTGGGGATTGAACCCTGGGTCTCTTACACATACAAGGCAAGCCCTCCTATCACTGAAATACATCACTAGCCCCCCTCCTTTAGGCAGGGCAGGACTGAGGATTGAGCATTGAGCCCTTTAGCTCTGCACCACATGCCCAGCCCTTTTTATTTTTGAGACAAAGTGTTGCCAAATTGCACAGGCTGGGCTTGCCTTGCAATCCTCCTGCCTCAGCCTCCCAGGGTGCTAGTTATAGGCATGCATCCCCTCTCTTGGCTATTATAGTATTTATTTTTTAGAGACAATGTTTTGCTAAGTCATCAAGTTGCCTGGGCTGGCCTCTAACTTAATATCCTCATGCCTCAGCCTCTCACATTGTTGAGGTGACAGGTATACCCCTCCATATCCAACCTGTACTTCAAACTTTGAATTCTACTCCTTTCCCAGCCTAGCACTAGGCTATATCACAGCCTTTTTTTTTTTTCCTGGTACCAGGAATCGAACTCACGACCTTGTGCTTGCCAGGCAGGCGCTGTGCCGCTGAGCTAAATCCCCAGCCCTATACCACAGTCTTGATGCTGAGCCACAGTCTCCCCATCTGTCATTCCATCATGGGGATAAGTGGCTGACTCTGCGGCATACACTCACTAAATTACCATGTTCAGTCAGGGGTATTAAATGCATTTTAAACATTTATAGCCGGGCGTGGTGGTGCACGCCTGTAATCCCAGCACTCAGGAACTGAGGCAGGAGGATCACTGTGAGTTCAAGGCCAGCCAGTGTCTCAGAAGGCCAAAAAGAATTTTAAAATTTTACAAAAATAAAATAAAACAAATTAAGTGCAGTGTGCACATATGTTATCCCAGCTACTTGGGAGGCTGAAATAAGGAGGATCACAAGTCAAGCCAAGCCTGGCTGGGCGTGGTAGCCCCACACCTGTAATCCCCGCACTCAGCTGGCTGAGGCAGGAGGATCACTGCGACTTGGAGGCCACCTTGGCCTACACAATGAATCTGAGATGAGCCTGGACTACATAGTGAGATCCTGTTTAAAAAACAAAAACCAGTAAATAAACATATATACAAAAAAGAAAATGTTAAAGAGCTGGGGATATAGCTCAGGTTGAAGGCCTGGGTTCAGTTCCTCAGACCACAAAACAATCAAGGCCAGTCTCTGTAAATTAGGGAGGTCTTGTCTCAAAAAAAAAAGCTGTAGCCATAATGGATGTAGCTCAGGGTACAGTGTGGGCCTACCATGCTCAAGGCCCCAGACCCAACCTGAAGCAGACAGAAGAGAGAGTGGGGGGAGACCGAATTTATGCTGCAAATCTGCATTTATTGAAATACAGTTTCTTGGGGCTGGGGATATAGCTCAGTGGCAAGAGGCTGAGACAGGAGGATCACCATGAGTTTGCGGCCAGCCTGGGCTACATAGGGAGACACTATCTCAAACAAATAAACAAAAAATAAAACAAAACAAAAAACCTCCTATAGGTTCATGTTAGACACCAATGACAGTTCTAATTTTCGGGGGGGCGGGGGGAAGGTAGTTTATTTAAGTCCTTCAAAGACTATACATTAAAAGTCCACCTTCCTCTAGCATGTCCAAAGCCTTGGGTTCAATTCCCAACATTGCCTCCCCACCAAAGTTCACCTTCCTAAAATTACCTTTTCCAAGTCTTGACTTAACCAACTAAAACTATAAAATCTGAAGAAGGGGCCAGGGATATAGTTCAGTGGCACAGGCGCCTGCCTGGCAAACGCAAGGCCCTGAATTCGATTCCCAGTATCCGGGAAAAAAAAAAAATCTGACGAGAAAGAAATCTTTAAGTTTAAAAAATATACTCTTAGGGCCGGGGATATAGCTCAGTGGCACAAGCGCCTGCCTGGCAAGCGCAAGGTCCTGAGTTCGAGTCCCGGTACCAAAAAATAAAAAATATACTCTTAGAAGAAACACACAAGAAAATTTCTGAACTATGCTACTACTGGTGCCTTTTTTATTTTGTAGGAGAGGGTCTTGGCGCTAGGGGTAGAAGGCAGGATTTCCCCCACATTCAGCACTAGTCTACCACTGAGCTACATCCCAGCCCAGCTACTGTGGCTTTCAACATTTCATCTTAGGAACCGTGAAACTTTCTATACAACATATACAATATTCTATTCTATTCAACAAATAAAGCTGTCCAAGTTAACAGCTCTCACAGTTATAAACTAAAATTTAGAAAAGGCTGTTATCAAGCTGGGCGTGGTGGGGCGCACCTGTAATCCCCAGCACTCAGGAGGCTGAGGCTAGAGGATCGTTGAGAGTTGAGACCAGCCTGGGCTACAAAGTGAGCTCAAGACCAGCCTGAACTGCATAGTATGACCCTGTCTCAAACAAATAAAGACTGTTCGTCAATTTCCTAAGCCTATACTCCATTAATTCTATCAGAAACAGGATCTGGAGAGCACTCGCCTAGCATGTGTGAGGCCCTGGGTTCAATCCCCAGCATCAGAGGGGCCAGGGAGGAAAAAGAAAAGGAAAAAACAAAACAAGGTATGATGGCCCGTGCCCGTAATCCCAGCACTCTGGAAGGCTTAGGCAGATGGATTTGAAGTTCAAGCCCATCCTGGGGAATTTAGCAAGTAGCAAGTCCCTATCTCAAGAAGACAAAAAAAAAAAAAAGAAAAGAAAACAAGGTTGGGGCTAGAGCTCAGTATAAAGGCCTGGGGGCAATCCCCAGTACTGCAAAAAAGGCAAAGGGGGTGGGGGAGCAGAGAAACAGTATTAAAACATCACTATTAGCACACAAGTCCTACATTAAATTTCCCTTAAATAACCCAGGAAAACTTAGTTCATTTACTGGAAATGCAAAAGAAAAGCAAAATAATATGTATTAGAAAAAACTCCAAGATAAGAATACAAATGGTGAATTTAGCCTGAATAATTTATTTCAAATTGTTTCATTTCTGCGGCTAGACATGGCCTCACTTTATAAGTACACAAGATCTAACTCAATTCCCCATTGTCTGACTGGATCAAGCAGTTAATGATTGTTGTGAAGAACACAAAATTACCCACAGCTCCACCACTGTGGTTAATCTTCATAAAACCCTCCTCAGATGAACCAGCTCCTTCCTTCTGATTGTGTAACTGTCTTACATCACTAGCAACACTGTTTTGTTTTTCACAATAGAAAACAACATACCAAAAGGATAAGGAAATAAAAGCACCTATGGGTACCCAAGGGGCAGCATCAGGCCTTCATTTCAATGTTTGTTAGGTCAGCACTGCTCTGGCCAAAGAGGAGGGACCATCTGTCACCACTCTGTGATGAAGGACATACAGGACCCGAGAGCAAGGGTCTCGATACTTTTATAGCAATGTGACATGCAATGCCTGAGTCTATTCGGTCCAATTTTTATTATTATTATTATTATTATTATTATTTTTGTCTTTTTGAGACAGGGTCTCACTATGCAGTCAGGCTGGCCTTGAGCTCACTTTGTAGCCCAGGCTGGTCTCAAACTCACAACGATCCTCCTGCCTCAGCCTCCCAAGGGCTGGGATTACAAGCATGCACCAGCACAGCTGGCTACCAGGGGACTTTTTTATATACCCTTGGCTGGACTCTTTGGGTTCTTTTTTTCCTTTTTTTCTTTTAATCTTTTTGAGATAGGGTCTCCCTCTGCAGTTCAGGCTGGCCTTGAGCTCACTTTGTAGCTCAGGCTGGTCTCGAACTTGCAATGATCCTCCTGCCTCAGCCTCCCACGTGCTGGGATTACAGGTGTGCGCCACCACGCCCGGCTTCTTTTTCTTTCTTTCTTTCTTCCTTTCTTTCTTTCTTTCTTTCCTTCTTTCTTCTTTAGAACATCAATAAGATAACTGAACAAAGACACCTGTGTCTGAATAGAAAAAATTATTCATTGTAAGCATCAGAGAATCACAAGGGGATAAAAATGTAGCACACTGCCTGAAGCCCAGGAAACAGTTCTGCCTAAACTTCCCACACTCTGGGCTACACCCCCAGCCGCTCCCTTTCTGAGATTTCCTGAGATCACATCCCAGAGTCCACTGTGTAGACATTCCCAGGTTTAATTATTCAAAAGGCCAAGGCAATGTCCTTTATTTGCAAATAAAACCTGGCTTAAAGTGATCACAGTGTCTTCTTTGTGCAACAAGAATTATAGGCCTGCACCACCCCACCTGGCTTAGATAACCGTTTCTTTTTTAAAAGAGAGAGAGGAAGTCACCCACAATCCCAGCACTTGGGAGGATGATTTCAAGGCCAACCTGGACTACACACAGAGACCTTGTTTCAAGAAAAAAAAAAAAAAAAAAAGTAAAATAACAATAAAAGGAAGAACATGCATACCATTCAATGTGCTATTTCCCTAAAGAAATCTATAACAAACCAAGAAAGAGAGGCTGGGACAGGGAAGAAAGTTCTGAATGACAAGGATTAAAGACTTACTGTTTGCAGCCTCCTGACTTCTCCAGGCTGCATATATCTTTTCTCTTTTTTTTGGTACCAGGAATCGAACTCAGGACATTGTGCTTTCCAGGCAGGCGCTGTACCACTGAGCTAAATTCCCTGCCCCTCCAAATATTTTTCTTATTTTTGTTTTTTTTTGGTGGTGCTAGGGGTTGAACCCAAGGCCTTGCATATGCTAGACAGGTGCTCTACCACTGATTACTACTTCCCTAGCCCTCCCTCAATTTTTGATTATATCTACTGGCCCAAATCAGATTAGCTGGTTCTGGGCCTGGGACTAGAGTTGTTATCTAGCATGCACAAGAGCCTGGCTTTGATCTTAGCCCCACCAAAAAAAATTTTAAAAGTTAACTCTGCTAAATATGTCTAGCAGTAGAAGTATTCAGAAGGTTAAAAGCAGTAGACTAAAAAGCCCAGATTTTGCCAGGCATGATGGCACACTCCTGTATAATCCCAGCACGGGGGAGGCTGAGGCAGGAGGATCTCCCTGAGTTAGTGGCTGGCCTGAGCTACACAAATGGAGTTTAAAAAAAACACACACACAAAAAGCCCCTAGATGTTACTTCCAGAACAGTCTTTCCAAACAGTCAGGTGACACAAACAGCCAGGTGTGGCAGCAAAAACCTACAATCCCAGCACTCCAAGACTGAGAAAGGAGGGTCACCAAGAGTTCAAGGCTAGCATGGACTACATAGTGAGTTCAAGGCCAGCCTGAACTAGATAGTGAGACGCTGTCCCCACCCCCACCAAAAAAAAGCCACAAACAGATCTCACACACTAACTCCATCTTCAGTCAGCTGAGAAAGTGATCAGGAAAGAGACCCATTTGCTGCCATAAAACATAATGGGTAATAGCCACCTTCTGGCTGCAGGCACCAGACCTGACTGATTGCTACCGCCAGGCGCTCGGAAGCACTGGTTGGCCCTCAATAGCAGCTCTGCGGTACTTGTTAAAAGAAGGGCCAATAAATACTTCAAAGATTTAAAATAATAAAGTAAATTATTAGAGCATATTTCTACCTCTAACTGGTGATGTGCAGGGCTAACTGGAAATTTATCTGCCCCCGAAATCATCACTTACAGAATCACTGGCAGGGAAACCAATGCATTTATTGCTCGCTAAGCACCTCAGTATTAAGTCCAGTGAAGCTGGGAAACTGAATGCTGTGAGCTGGGCCTGAAATGCCGGAGCCTCTTATTAAACAGCTCTCAGTAAATGTCACAAATATGGACCTGATTAATGTATGTCTGCTGTCAAAAGATCCCCCAGGTTTCTCTTTCTAGTACATTTCTAGCATTTACCTCATTGCTGGTAGATTAAAAACGTAGCCCTGCTTACTTTCTAGTTTTGTTTTTCTTTTCTTTCTACCCACAGTACGCTGGCACTGGGGCACAGCCAGGGCTCTTTCCTCAAGACATGATTTGAATCAAAATTCAGATCTGCTCTAAAGCATTTACAGAACCAGCAATTCAGTCTTCAGAAATACTCACCATGAATGTCACCTTCTCCCTGGAAAAGAAAACAAATATATAAAAATTTATTTCCTATTTTAATTTCCGATACACAAAACAGTCAGAGTTGACTGGCTGATATCTACATGGGATCAAATGTGAAATTCCGCTCTGACACAATCAAGTAAGGGGCAGGTGGCAACCTTTATTCAACTTAGGACCCTGCTATACAACAATTCTGCACAACAAATTGCCCCAACTATGACGAATGTGATCATTATGTATGTATATCTAACATGTACCAATAGGGCTGGGGATATAGCTCAGCGGCACAAGCGCCTGCCTGGCAAGCGCGAGGTCCTGAATTTGATTCCCAGTACCAAAATAAATAAATAAATAAAATAAAATAAAATGTACCAATAAAATCGGATTGAAAAAATTAAAAAATTGCCCCAGTCCCAGTGACACCTAAAACACACACACACATACACATTTACTCTGATGACCTAAACCCAATTGGCATTTCAGAGGCTCTTTTTTTTTTTTTTTTTTTTTTTTATTGGTTTTTCTCCGGTACCGGGAACCGAACTCACGACCTTACGCTTGCCAGGCAGGCGCTTTTGCCGCTGAGCTAAATCCCCAGCCCCTCAGAGGCTCTTTTATCAGAACAGGAAACTAAAAATCTATCATCTGCTTTCTCTTTCTTTTTTTCTTTTGTCTTTTTGAGACAGGGTCTTGCTATGCAGTTCAGGCTGGCCTTAAACTCCCAATGATCCTCCTGCCTCAGCCTACCGAGTGCTGGGATTACAGGGGTGCGCCACCCTGCCCAGCTACTTTCTCTTTTCTCTTCCCTTGCTGCTGAACGCCCCTGTGAGCTCCAAATCTCCTCTAGCAGCTGTCCCCTCAGTAGGCAGCTGCTGCTCCTCTCTCTGTGTTGTAAGGTCCCTAGTCCGGAGGACCTCCTCCTAGGCAAGGTCTTTACAGCCGTACACCATGAGGCTTAGCAGCAGTAGTCCTCTGCAGATATTCCTAAGAATAATGCTAGTAGCTGGGCACAGTTCTGCGGGTCTAGAACCCCAGAACTTTGGCAACTACAGCAAGAGAATGAGAAGTTAGAGCCTAGCTTGGCCAACTTATTGAGACCCTATCTCATAATTAAAAAATTAAAAATGAGCTGGGCCATGGGGCTCAATAGGAAGGCCTGGCTTCAATCCCCAGTACCACTACTGGTACAGGCTCCTAGAGTTCAACTCAACAAACACTGGCAGGCTGTTGGAACAGTCCTTGAACTCAGAATGGCACTCTAATGTGATAAAGAGGAAGTTAGTGTGACCCAGAAGTCCCCAAAATCACTACTGAAGGACTTGAGATCAATCACAGTGGCAAAGCCGGGTGTGGTGGCGCATACCTGTAATCCTAGCACTCAGGAGGCTGAGGCAGGAGGATCATTGCGAGTTCGAGACCAGCCTGAGCTACAAAGTGAGCTCAAGGCCAGCCTGAACTGCACAACAAGACCCTGTCTCAAAGAGACAGAAAAAACAATTCCTAATGGCAAGAGACATCTGAGTGGGTCAGGACACAGAGCAACTCACTTGTCTGACTTTACTCTGTGTACAATGCTTCCGTCATCAGGACAACCCAGTCCCTTTCCTAATTGCTGTTATGTGAGATTCCTGGGGCAGAGCTAAAACTCTCAGGAAACAAGAGGAAGTTGAATTTCTGAACCCTCAGTCTGTCTGTCTTTCCTCCTGACCTTCAAGTCGAAGAAGTCTCCAGTGCTTCCTTCCGAGGAGTTCCTTCTCTGGGGTCCAGATGACTCCAAGTCTTCCCTGCCCCCACTAGACTTGGCACCTAGAAACCAAACATACTTCTTGAGGAATAAAATAGAAGACCTAAAGCAAAACACCTTAGTCACATATCACAGATGGAGGAAACTATCTCAGCTGACATCTTAAAACTTCTACAAGAGGGATTAAATACCCTGCTCTTACTTCAGTCCCTATTCATACCATAGAATCTCAGTATTTTCCATTTCTTTCTTATCCTGCTAAGCTTGAATGATTGTTCATTACCTTCAAGCTACATTTTGATTAGTAAAAACCAGCTGTAAACTGGGTACAGTGACACATGCCTATAATTCTAGTTATTTAGAAAGATAAAGCAGGATTGTGAGTTCAAGGCCAGCCTGGGTAGTTTAGCGAGACTTTGTTTCACAATCAAAAGGGAGTGAGGGAGGGTGCCAGGGATATAGCTCAGCAGCAGAGCACTGGCCTGGCAAGCGTGAGGTCCTGAGTTTGATTCCCAGTACCCAAAAAAAGGGGGGATGGGGAGGTAGCTCATGGTAAAGTACCCATATTTTAATCCCCAATAGCAAAAACAAACAAAAAACCCATATCCTGGCATGCTGGCTGGCACACACCTGTATTCCCAGCACTCTGGAGGCTGAGGCAAGAGGATCTTGAGTTCAAGGCAAGCTTGAATTATGTACTGCGACCCTGTATCAAAAACCCAAACCAGGAGGCCAGGGATATAGCTCAACAGCACAAGCACCTGCCTGGCAAGCACAAAGTCCTGATTCGATTCCCAGTACAAAAAAAAAAAAAACACAAACCAAGACCAGGCATGGTGGTGCACACCTGTAATCTCAGCACTGAAGAGGCTGAGGCAGGAGGCTCATTGAGAGTTCAAGACCAGCCTGGGCTACAAAGTGAACTCAAGGCCAGCCTGAACTGCACAGTGAGACCCTGTCTCAAAAAGACAAAAAAACAAACAAAAAAACACCTCAAACCAAGGGCCAGGGATATGGCTCAGTGGCACAGTGCCTGCCTGGCAAGCAGAAGGTCCTGAGTTCGATTCCCTGTACCTCCCCACAAAAAGCAACTGTAAAAACCAAACCAAACAAGACTCAAGCTGAGGCCATGCCTTGGAACAGTGCTCACAGATAAAAGCAGAGCAGTACCTGCTGACTTGGCCCAAGAAGGGGGATTTTCTTCAGGTGTCCCGAAGATGCTGGAAGCCATTTTGTTCTTCCTCACAGGCTGCTCTGTGGGTTCATCAAAGCCTAATGAAAAATTGGATCCACCACCTGGAGGCCGCAAAACCCTAGAGACAATGGCAAATCAATAATTTCAACCTCTACCAAAATATATTTTCCAGCACCTTTTATTTCATTCCCTCATCCACTATTCATTCCCACCCTCGGTCCCAAAAACAGCTGCTAACGTGAAAAAGGAATTGACTCACACTGGTACAAATTCAATTCTGGAGGTTAAGATACCAAACACTGCCGTGTCATTATTTGTAGTACCATATAAGTTGGTGTGTCCTTTTAAGAAACAGTAAAAGATTTATGCCAGGCATGGTGGCGCATAACTGCAATCCCAGCACTCAGGATGCTGAGGCAAGAGGACTGCCATGAGCTCTGGCCAGCCTGGGCTAGACCCTGTCTAGCAAGACCCTGTCTCAAAAAAACTAAAAACAAAACCAAAAAAAAAAAAAAAAAAACAGTAAAAGGTTTAACGGACACTGGCCTACGGGCTTAGCTGAATATATCCACAAAGACATTGGGAAGTCCCACAATGAATCTGGTTACATGTACTGCAAAGATGAACTAATTGCCTGATGTGGTGGCATACGCCTGTAATCCCAGCACTCAGTAGGCAGAGGCAGGAGGATTGCCCTAAATTTAAGGCCAGCCTGGGCTACATAAGCAAGTTCAAGGATAGCCTGCACTGCATAGCAATACTCTGTCTCAAAAATAAATAAATAATAAATCGATCTCCAGCATCATAAAAACAAACAAAAATGGACTAATAAAAATTTTCAAATATTTGTTTCAAGTTTAGAATAAACACATCTTGTTTTTTTATTTTGGGGGAGTTTTAAAACATTTTTGGAGATAAGGTCTCCCTACGTAGTCCAAGCTAGTCTTGAACTCACTATGTAGCCCAGGCTCACCTCAAACTCGGGGCGATCCTCCTGCCTCACCCTCTTGAGTGCTGGGATTACAGGCATGTGCCACCACACCTGGCTATATCTTATTTCTTCATTTGAAAACCATTTCCACTTTTATTTTCAATTAAAAGAGTTAAGGGCAGCCAGGCATGGTGGCACACACCTGTAATCCCAGCACTCAAGAAGCTAAGGCAGGGAGGATCCCTGTGTGTTCGATGCTAGCTTGGGTTACATAGTGAGTTCAAGGCCAGCCTGAACTACACTACATGATAAGACCCTGTCTCAAAAAAAGGGGGTGATGTTGTTTTTTTTCCTACTCAGACTAGCAAATAAGTGCTGTTTTTGGTTAGTTGTTTGTTTGTTTAGTCTTTTTGAGACAGAGTCTCACTATGCAGTTCAGGCTGACCTTGAACTCACTTTGTAGCCCAGGTTGGCCTCAAACTCACAACAATCTTCCTGTCTCAACCTCCTGAATGCTGGTATTACAGGAGTGCACCACCATGCCCGGCAGTTGGTTGGTTTTCTTTCTTTTTTTTTTTTTCTTTTTTTGGACCAGGAATCTAATTTACGACCTCAGACTTGCCAGGCAGGTGCTCTACCACTGAGCTATATCTCTGGCTCGCTTGGTTTGCAAGACAGGGCTTTGTTATGTAGTCCAAGCTAGCCTTAAACTATGTACCCAGGATGGCCTTCAACTCATGATTCTCTTGCCTCAGCCTCTCAAGTGCTGGGATTACAGGCATGTGCCATTGTGCCCAGCTTATAAATCAATTTTTAAAAAGAGGGTATTGTTTGTTTATCAGATTGTAAAAGATTTTTTTTGTTTGTTTTGGGGTTTTTTCTGGTACCAGGAATCGAACTCATTACCTTGCGCTTGCCAGGCAGGCGCTGTGCTGCTGAGCTAAATCCCTAACCCCTGTAAAAGATTTTTTAAAAAGCCATCTCGGGCCAGGTATTTAGCTCAGAGGCACAGTGCCTGCATGGCAAGCATGAGCTCCTCAGTTTGATTCTCGGTACCCAAAAGATAATAATAAAATAAAATAAATGAAAAGTTGTCCCAGCACTATGAGAGTATAAATTTATGCAGACTTTCTAAAGACATGTAACTGGGAGGGCAAAATGGAACTTTGAAAGTTAATTTTTTTCCTTTAGAAATAAGGGGCTTCTCCAAACTTCCTCAGACCTCTGGCATAAACTAGCCTTCCCACCTCTGCTCAACCCAGATAAACAGAATACACAGACACCACTGGCAGGAGGTCAAAGTCTGGTTTTACTTCCTTACAAAAGGCAGGGAGAGTTCTGGTCCAGGAAGGGAGGAAATAGGCCTGATTTGGTCGTCGGTTAAAAAGTGAATCTGAGGGTATCCACCTAAGTGGCCAGGAGCACATAGTTTGAGAAGTTGCATAACTCCCTATGCCTCAGCTTTCTCCTCTATCAAATGAGAATATTGGTATCTATCTCATAAAAGTCTTATTATAAGGGCATCGTATATAATCTGGAACATGGCAATCACGTACATTAGCTATTATTATAACCAAATAAATGTCACCACAATGCTATCCAGGATTCCTTCTCACTGATGGTATTTCAAGTGAATTTTAATGGCTTTTTGGTGGGGGAGGTGAATACTGGGGATTGAGGGCTGGGGAGAGAGCTCAGCTGCACAGTGTCTGCCTGGCAAGTGCAAGGTCCTGAGTTCGATTCCCTGTACCAAAAAAAAAAAAACATACTGAAGATTGAACCCAGCAAGCACTGGGCCGGCTATATAGGGTACATCCCTAACCCTTTTTATTTCTTCATTTGAAATAAAGTGTCACTATCATGCCCCAGGCTGGCCTTGAACTTAGGATCCTCATGCTTTAGCCTCAGCAGTAGCTGGGATTACAGCATGTACCACCACACAACTCCCCTTGTTGTCTGTTTTTTTTTTTTTTGGTCTGTTTTAGATAGGGTCTCGCTATGTAGTTCAGGCTGGCCTTGAGCTCACTTTGTAGCCAAAGCTGGTCTAGAACTCGCAATGATCCTCCTGCCTCAGCCTCATGAGTGCTGGGAGAGTGCTGGAATTACAGGCGTGTGCCACCACCCCCAGCTCTTCTTGTCTTTTTTAAATGCCATATATTTTGTATTGCTACTACTCTAAATTTCTTTTAAACAGTGTCTGAGTTCCAGAAATTGCTACCAATGTTTCTTTTGATGATACTCCTTTTCCCCACTGCCTATTCTGGATAAATGTGATTACACATTCACCTGTGTCCTTTCTGGATCCCCAGACAGAAACCCTGGCCCCTCAGCTCCTCTGGGTGTATAGCCTGGCACCCTGGCATCAGCTCAAAACACTGCCCCTCACCAGACTCACAGTTTCCATTCCTGCCTTTTGTGGTGGTCCCTGCCCTGTCTCGCCCCCTTCTGTGCCAGGATCCATAGCCCAGCAGCCCAGGGGGTTGGGTGAGCAGACACTGAAAACCATACAAACTCTGCCCTCCAGCAATACGACCTCTTCTCAAATGAATCACAGCGGCTCCAACCACCCTGCCTGCCCACCCATCCCGGCATGCCACTTTCCGCGCTGTGCCCAGGTTTATCTCCACCTGGGAACCTATCTTGGCCTATTTCCACCTGCTCTCCACCCTCCCCTCCTCACTGCCCAGTCCAGCTCCCCCAGCCACTCCCAGAGCAGGAGAGTAACAGCCCAGCCTGCAGGGAGGACAGGGCAGGACACTCCCCTCCCCCAGGAGCTGCCAACACCCCATCAAGGGCCAGATGGTGAAGATTTCTGGCTCAGTGGATTGGGGCTTCCTGCACTCCTGACTGCCACGTGCACACAGAGGCAGCCACAGGTAACACGAAGATGAGTGTGCCCATGCCCGAGACAATTTCACACATCAGCTGGGCAAGGACACTGAATTTTAATTGTATTTTCATGTAACTTTCCTAAGACAGGAAATAGTGCTTTTCTCAATCGTTTATCAGTGTGAAAATCATTCATAGTTCAGGGTCTCTCCAAGCACAGGTGAGATTGAATCCGGCCTAGAGGTCAGAGTGTGCTGAACCCTGCTTGGGGCAGTTCAACCACCTCTTGTCAGGAAGAGCCAGGCTCTAAAAGCTCTAAATAAGTGCTCTGCATTAGCTAGTGCACAGAGCTCGAACCCAGACCCTCAGCACCTGGCAGTCACATTACAAATGCTCAGGCGCTTCAGTGGGATAACTACACAATGCCCTTTTTCTCTTTTAACTACATATCTGTATAGTGGGGCATGGTGGTGCATGCCTGGAAGGCCAGCAGTCTGGGAGGCTGAGGCAGAAGTATCTTGAGTTTGAATCTGCTTAGCACGGGCAATTTTTTTTTTTTTCCTTTTTGAGACAGAGCTTCACTATGCAGTTCAGGAGGCCCAAGCTGGTCTCAAAATCTCAGTGATCCTCTTGCCTCAGCCTCCAGAGTGCTGGGATTACAGGCATGTGCCACCACACCCAGCCAGCATGAGCGATTTAGTAATTGAGGGAAACCCTGTCTCAAAATTAGAAAAAAAAAATTGGGGCCAGGGAAGTAATTCAGCAGCACAGGGGCCTGCCTGGCAAGCACAAAGTCCTGAGTTTGATTTCCGGTACCAAATAAACAAACAAACAAACAAATAAAGAGCTGAGGATAGGGGCTGGGGATTTAGCTCAGCGGTAAAAGCGCCTGCCTGGCAGGCGCAAGGTCGTGAGTTCGGTTCCCGGTACCGGAGAAAAACCAAAAAAAAAAAGACCTGAGGATATTGCTGAGAGAGCAAGCCCTGGGCTTAATCTCTAGCACAGCAAAAAAATAGTTAAATTTCATTATCTACCCCCAAAACTCCATTGCATTCCTTTATAACATGTGAACCATTTAAAGCTCCATTGGTTTTTTTTTTGTAAATCTTGATATTACTCACTTAAATTCACTGTATAAATTAAGATAAATTGTTCAGGCATATATTTTATCAAGATAATTTTAGGTTTAATGAAATTGTTTCAATCTGAGGGAATTAGGTTTTTATCATTTGTACCTTAAATCAACAAAGCACCTGAAATAACAGAACCAAAATCAACTTGCTTCCTTGAGAGGCCCGTCATTTCCTAGAGATTAAAATGTTTGTCTTTACTGACATAATTAAGACCTCATGCACTATTTTGGCAAGAGAGAAAAAGAGAGAGGAGAGGGCAAGGAGGAAAGGAAAAAAGGAAGGAAGGAAAAAAGGAAAGAAGGAAGGAAGGAAGGAAGGAAGGAAGGAAGGAAGGAAGGAAGGAAGGAAGGAAAAAGGACTGAAAGGGACAGACAGACAAACACTGTACCCAAACACCAACTTCAAAGCAAATAAAGCCCTGTCCAGGCCAACTTCTGCAGGCCCGCGCTGCTCCGGCAGCAGCAGGTAGTACCTACTCCGATGACGTCAGTGTTGTAGAGACCATTTGTAATATCGAGGCATCCCCAAACAAAGGACTTGATCACAAGACAGAAACTACTTCAATCTCGTTCTTTACTATTCTTTCTGAACCACACGCAGTAATGAAATCAGGATTACTTATTGAAGACTCAACAAAAACATGTCCACGTCTTGTAGAAAAAAAATTTTTAATTTACTCCTTTTTTCTTTCTTTAAAATCTCAGTTTCTATACACGATCTTTGGAGATCACTCCCTACCACACTGAATTTATAATGAGGTGAGAGCCGGGAGAATGTTACTGAAGAAAGGAAGTTTAGGTGAACTGGGGACGATTACAGAAGAAGGGAAGCTGAGAAGCAAATGACAATGCCACAGCACTAAGATCACAATCCTGGAGGAAAACTAATGGCAAGTGTGAAGGAAAACATTCATCTCTCAGAACCAAAAATTATTTGTCTCACATCTCTACACATGAAAAAACAAGCAAGGTTTGCTTGGCCTGGTTCTGAAGTCTTTACAAAGCTCTAAATTCAGCAACATCAAAGGCTAAAACCCCAGTCCACGCTCGCATCCCACTGAAGTCTGACCAGCAGAAAGTTGACACAAAATGGAGCACCATGGCTCAGTTCATCCCCGTGTCCTCTAAAAACAGCATCTTGTAGAAAGGATGACAAGAGAAGAGGGATGACTAGTATTTTCTTAGGCTCCATACAGTTTCCCCACCCTCCCAGGCAGCTTAGTGTTTTCAATCTTAGTCATTCTTTTCTACATCGCAAAGTGAAAGGAGCTAGGTGAAAGGTAATGGCACCAGTACTTCCTCCTAGGCCTCCTTTGCTGAGCTGTGTTTTTGTTCTTAAGTTCTCTAACCCCTGCGAGGCTGATATTGGTGCTTCGTGTCTGCATTCTTAGCCCCACAAAATGGCTCCCTTTGTGCCACTTGGCCAGGACCCCAAGGCTGGTCACACACAACCGCAAGTCGTGATGAACAGGGCATAGATGCCCGCAAGAAGTGGCACCTAAGCTTTCTCCAAGCCTTGAGGAAGATCCCAGAGATGCCTACAACGCACCTCACAGAACAGTGTACAATTAGCTGAGACAATGTGGACAGCTTTCACAGGAGCCAGGCCCTTCCACCAAGTTAATCAAGGGCTTGGAAACGGGTCCCAGTCCAAATAACCTGCCCTGTGCCCCCTCCCCAAAATGCAGTGTGACGGGTGGCAAGAAAGGCCCTCGCTTCCCAGGTGGAGACACTACTGGGGAGACAATGGATGTCTCCGGCCCCGCCCAAGAACTGGAAACCTCCTCCTGGAAGGCACCCAGGGCCAGGAATGAACTCATTTGGCAAACGTCAAAGGGGGATGCAAATAAGGGGGGGGTGCACAGACAGAGGTCTGGAGGTTTAGGCTCAGAAAACCCATTCCGGCGGGCTCGGTCCCCCTCGCGCTCAGAGGTGGGCACGGGGAGGGGGAGGAGACGGGGTCTGTTTCTCCTTTGTTAGAAGAGGGAGGCCCTTCGAGGAGCGGAGGGACGGTCTGCGTCCCGGCCGGGAGTGAGGGGTCGCGATGACCAGCCCCGCCCAGGCACAGATGCACCTGCCGGGCGGCCCAGGGGCAGAACGGGGACGAGGGAGGGTCAAAGTCTGACTGACCCGGCGGAACCTGTCGCGGGATCTGATCGCTGCGCCCAAACCTGGGGCCGGTACGTGCCCCGGGCCAGAGGTAGGAGCGCGCGGCGCGGGGGTGGGACAATGGACCTGACCGCGACGCCCTGGCGGATCCGCGGGGACCTGGGGGGCCTCGAGCACCAGCCTGAGGGCTGGGCCAGCCCCGCCGCGGAAAGCCGGGCGAACCTTCCCCAGGTTCCCATGGACGAGCACCCGCCCCTCTTGAGCGGCGGTCAGCCCCGGCCGCCCCGGCGCCCGCTCCCGCTCCGTGGGAGGAATGAATGGAGAGCGGCGGGATCCGGGCGGGGCCGCGGCGCCCGGCTCGCCAAGGCACAAAGCGGCCCCGCGGCGGAGCCCTGCGGGCATCTGGGCGCGAGCTCGGCGTACCGGGTGCTTTACCACCAACGACCGGCTACCGGCCCGCGGGCGGCCGCCCTCTGACCCCTGGGCCCCCCGCGCCTTGGAAGGCGCCCCGCCGCCTCACCGGGAGCTATTCCTGCTGTTGGGATCGACACCCTTGAACGTGGTGGTGGTGGTCATGGCGCCGAGGAGCGGGGTAGGCTGGCGCAGGAGCACAACGATGAACTGGTCAGACCCGAGGTGTGCAGGGCAGGCTCCAAACGCTGCGAAAACCACCGCTACCGTAACCTCCCCCACCGCCTGCCTGGCCCGCAGCCACTTTTATAGAGCTCACAAGCCCCGCCCTTATCCCCACCAGCATTGGCCGATTCAAATAGACCTTTTGGTTCCTATTGGCTAACCGAAGTGCCAAGCACCGTGTGGCGTCCAGACAAGCTTCGGCGGCTCCCAGCTCGACCTAAACCCGCCCCCTTCCTGGACAGGGACGGTCTCGGGACCTTCTCCCCTCCCCCACCTCCAAAATCTCGGTGATGATTGGACAAGAGGAGACCCTGCCCAGAGATCCGTACAAATCATGCTGTCACTTAAAAAGTTACTTGATGGAGGGAGAAGCGCCTTCTGGGGGAGTTAAAACTTGCAAACCCAGGGCAGATTTCCCATCATTATCATTCACACTTTTACTTTTTCATCTTTTTTTAAACTCAAGGATTTTGCACTGAGGTACATCCCAAGCCCTATATATACATATTAAAAAAAAAAAAAAAAAAAGTCTCCCTAGATCCCTCAGCTCGCCTTTGTAATCCTTGGGCCTCCGCCTACCAGAGTGCCAGGATTACAGGTGTACACCACCGCGCTAACCCTACTTTTAGGGTGGATGGTAAGGGCATTCTCCTTAAGGGATGAAAGCTACTGCTATGAGTTGACATTTTTAAAACTGAAGTTGGACATGTTAACACAGGCCTGTAATCCCAGCACTCGGGAGGCTGAAGCAGAAGAATCACCACAAGCTCCAGGCCAGCCCGAAAATACATTAAGGAGACCCTCTCTCAACATATAAACAAACAAATGGAATACTAGGCTGGGGGTTGTGGTGCACACCTGTAACCCCAGCACTCGGGAGGCTGAGGGGGTAGGATTGCTTCGAGTTTAAGGCCACACTGGGCTACAAAGTGAGTTCAAGGCCAGCCTGAACTGCATAGTGAGACCTTGTCTCAAAAAGACTAAAATAAAATAAAATAAACCAAAACAAATGGAATACCTACTGTGTAACCCATTTAGAAGCGTAACAGTCCCAAAGCACTAGCACTATGAGTCAGCAACAGAAAGCACACTAAGCTTCCTTCTTAAGTGAGTGGAAATTCTTCACATTTTAATGTTACTATTTAGCTGTAATGGGTAGTTCATGAGTTGAACCAAAATTACAGTCGTTCCGATTTGGGAGCCTGTTCTAAAGCTGGTTAATGCCCAGCAACAGGACTGGTCTCTTCCCCTCCTACCATGACTATCCGAGCAGCCCAGGCCTCTGCAGCTGTTAATAACTCTTAAGTCATGACTCTTCCACCTGTCTGAGTAAATCTATCCCTGCGACAAATGCAGACACACTTGAGGTCTCAGGAATGACTGTTTACAAGATTTTAATAGGAAAGTCTCCGTTAAGAAGTTCAGGCAGTTGATGGATAATCCCTTCGCGTTTCATGCATTTTGCCTCTAGGCAGATGTCTTCCCTAGTCTCAGTTATCTCCATAAAAACAGAACTACATTCTTCTTTGCAGGGCCTCCTTCTAGCCTGTTGGAAATTTGTGTTTTCAACAGTCTTGGTTAACTACCCCTGCGCTTTCATGGCAAGCAGAGACAGGTTCCTCTCCTCTACAAAGCATAATCTTGTATTTATGCACTTACCACAAGAGCATGAAGCACTCCAACTGTTTGAGTTATAGTCTTCCTATTCTTGGTTTTTGGAGGAGCGGGGGAGGGGCAGGAATCGAACTCAGGAACTACTGCTTGCCGTGCAGGCACTGCGCCACTGAGCTATATCCCTGGCCCACAGTCTTATTCTTAAACAGTAAGACTAAACTTCCCAAGCCTTAAAAAGAAGTAACACAAACAAACCACAAAAACAAAAAAGCAGAGGCTGGGGATTTAGCTCAGCAGCACAGCAACTGCCCGGCAAGCGCAAGGTCGTGAGCTCCATAACAGGAAACAGGAAAAAAAAAAAAAAAAAAAAGAGCAGACGAACCTTTGAGTACCCCGCCTCACAAATCATGTAATTACTGGGCCAGGAATATAGTTCAGCGGCACAAGTGCCTGCCTGGCAAGCTCAAGGTCCTCAGTTAGATTCCCAATACAAAAAAAAAAAAAAAAAATTCATGTAATTACTAGGTCATAGTAGAGTACGGTCCTTGCTAGCTTGGGCTCTCCTGGGAGAAATCTAGGGGTTTGGGGGAGTTTTCTGTGGTTTTTTTGTTTGTTTGACACTGAGTCTCGCTATGTAGTTCAGGCTGGCCTTGAACTCACTATATAGCCCAAGCTGGGTTTGTTTGTTTTTCCCAAACTCGTTTTGAACTTGCAAAGATTCTCCTCCCTAAACCTCCCAAGTGCTGGGATTACAGGCATGCGCCACCACGCCCAGCCTGAAATCTAGTTTTTTAATCTCAACTGTTACCTATTCTGAGCGCTAGTTTCCCCATTTATAAAAGGTTAAAATGGAATCTGCTCTCTATAGTTTTGTTTTATTCCTGGGTATTAAACCTAGGGCCTTGACACTGAGCTACATCCCCAGCCATTTTTTAAATTCTCATTGTGAGACAGGGTCTTCTTAAATTGATTAGCTGCCCAGGCTGGAGTGAAATTTTCCACTCTTCTGCCTCAGCCTTCCAGAGTTGAGATTAGAGGTTTGGGCCAGCATGCCAAGCTCCATACTGTTTTAAGAATTTAATGAGGTAGGCTGAGTGTGGTAGCTCATGCCTGTAATCCCAGCACTCGGGAGGCTGAAGGAGGAGGATCACGGCGAGTTTGAGACCAACCTGGGCTACAAAGTGAGCTCAAGGCCAGCCTGAACTGCATAGCGAGACCCTGTCTCAAAAAGACTAAAAAAGAAAAAAAAGCAACCTACCCCAGTTTATTCCACAATGCCAGAGAAAATGGGCAATCTACATTGGCTTTATTCTCAGCATTTACTGTCCCTAAATTCTATAATCCAGGTGAAACCTATCATTTAGGTGTCTTTTAGTATAATCCAGTATGCATAGATCAAGCAGAACTGAGGACTGCAAATATTTGACTGTTTTCAACCTACAACAATAGCAACTGCTTATGTTCAACATTTATTTAATCTATTTATTTTTGGTTTTCTGAGATAGGGTCTTGCCATATAGATCAGACTGGTTTGAACCTCAGGCTGGCTGCAAACTGAAAGTACTTCTGCTTCAGCCTCCCAAGTACTGGGCTTTCAGGCATGTCACCACACCCGGCTTCACATAGTTAATTTATGGCGTTGGGGATTGAACCCAGACCTTAAACATGCTAGGCAAGTACTCTCCCACTGATCTATGTCACAGCCCCAGTCTGTACATATATACTTTTTTTTTCTCTTCTCAGTACTGAGGACTAAACCCAGGACCTCTGCATTGAAGTATATCATCCTCAGCCCTTTTTTTTTTTTTTTTTGAGACAGGGTCTTGCTAAATCACTAAATTGCCAAGATTGAGCTCAAACATGCAGTCCTCCTGCTTCAGTCTTCCAGACTGTTTGAGATTTCTTTTAGGCCTGGGACAGTAGGCCCAGTTTTCATTCTAATGCTGACAATGTTTTTTTGAACTTGGTTAACTGACTGAAGTAATGGTCCATAGACAAGATTGTTGTTGTTGTTTTAAGACTGCAAAAAGTTTATTAGGAGTAGCACTATGGTAGTAACAGGAGACAAGGCATGATTGAGCAGAGTAAAACTCCATCACATAATGCCAATCTGACACCATTTCTACAGTGACCACTGCCTACCAACTATTGCTGAGGGTCTTCACATGTTAAATGACTATCCTAATGCTGACAGCAATGGGTATGTCCAGGGTTCCAGGGACTAGCAGGGTAGGAGTGGCCCATGCCCCATGATCAATGTCCCAGTCGGAGTAAGGGAGGTAGGACCATCCCTAGAAGGGAGGGAGCTATAGACAGCATTTCTACAAGCTTTTTTTTTTTTTTCGGTCTTTTTGAGACAAGGTCACTGTATGTAGTTCAGGCTGGCCTCAAATTCAAGGCAATTCTCCTGCCTCAGCCTTCCAAGTGCTGGGATTATACGGGTACACCACCATACCTGGTTCTGTCCATGCTTTTCTTCGCTGTATCTTCACAAAAGAAGTCAGATCAATCTTAATGCAGACAGTTTATTTCCTTTTAAAATTCATCTGCCGCCGGGCGTGGTGGCACACACCTGTAATCCTAGCACTGGGGAGGCTGAGGCAGGAGGATCATTGCAAATTCAAGACCAGCCTGGGCTACAAAGTGAGCTCAAGACCAGCTTGAACTGTATAGCGAGAACCTGTCTCAAAAAGACCAAAAAATAAATAAATAAAATAAAATTCATCTGCCACTGAAGCTCAGTGTGACAGCACCCACCTGTAATCCCAGCACTTGAGAGGCTGACGCAGTTCCATTGCCACTTGTTCAAGGCCGGCATGGACTACATAGTGAGTTCAAGGCCAGCTTGCTCTATACAGGGAGACCCTGTCTCAAAAAGACAAAAACAAAAAAACAAAAAACCTCCACCTCATTTGACATTAAACAAATGCCATTAAATATGAGGAATAGCTTAATAGCTCTGCCAAGTCATACCTTATTTTTATTTAAAGTCAGGGTGAACAGAATAATACATGTGGGCTGGGGATGTAGCTCAGCGGCGAAGCGCCTGCCTGGCAAACGCAAGGTCGTGAGTTTGGTTCTCGGTACCGGAGAAAAAACCAAAAAAAAAACAAACAGAATAATACATGCACTTCACTAAGGTCTGCCAGATCCTTCTTGGGTCCTTTTAACCACCAAGAGCTGAACAACAGGTTTAAATGTGCCCTCTAAACCAGGCTTGGTGGCACACACCTAATAATCTCTGCATTTGGGAGGCTGAGCCAGGATTGTTGCAAATTCAAGACCAGCCTGGGCTGCAAAGTGAGCTCAAGGCCAGCCTGAACAGCATAGCAAGACCCTGTCTCAAAAAGATTTAAAAAAAAAAAAAAAAGGGCCTTCTAAATGAAGGAATGTGCCCCCTTAGCCAGAAGTGGTGATACATGACTATAATCCCAAAGGATCGTAAGTTTAGGCACAGCCCGGGCAATTTAGCAAAATCCTATCTTAAAAAATAAAAAGGGCTGAGCATGTACCTCAGTGTGAAGGCTCTGGGTTTAACCCAAAATACCAAAAAACAAACAAAACAAAAACTCCTTAGACATGGATTTAGCCTACTCTAGAAA